ATGAAAACTGCAATGCAATTTCCAAAAGTCCAATTTTGAGCTCCCTTGCTCTTGGGTAGTTCTATTCTTCTCTTGCCCACCCAATTCCTCATTTGGGTAGCCTCTACTCTTCAAATTGGTGAGGTTGAAGGTCTAAGAAAGAGCAAAACTCCAATTATGAGTTCCCTTGCTCTTGGGTAGTTCTACTCTTCTCTTGCCCACCCAATTCCTCATCTAGGTAGCCCCTATTCTTCAAATTGGTGAGGTTGAAGGCAAAGGAAAGAGCAAAAATCCAATTGTAATTAAATGAAAACTGCAATGCAATTTCCACAACTGCAATGTAGTTTGTGCAAAACTACAATGCAGAACCTTTACAGTGTAGTTTTGCAATACCATTTCCTTTGAAAAGTTCTGCTGCCGCTTGAAAATCTGGGAGAACCTTCTCTGAATCTTTTGAAGTGGCAAAGAGCTAAAGCTGAGCATAGAAAGTTTTATATAGGTCAACTAGCATGAATATTCCATTGCAAAGGGTTCCATAATTTTGAAGTCGTGTCTATAAAAAAAATTCAAACATTCACCAAAATACCTGCTTCTTGATTTCACTTTCAAAAATTTGAGGGGCATTTTTCCTAGTAAATGTGATGACTAAAGGAAGCTTGTTTAGAAAGACACACTCGGCAATTGCAGACTTCTCAAATTTACCATCTGCAGAAATGAGAAACTGAGGACAAAGTAAAGGAACACAAAACAATCAAATTGAGACATCACACCCAATGTGATAATAAAAAAAGACTAACTGAAATAACTTCAGTAGGTCGTTTAACTTCAGGGTCAAGATGGAAAAGTTTTGCCACCTTAGGATCCACTGTTTGGTAAAAGTTGACATCATCTTCAAGTCTTGAAGCAACAGCAAGCTCGTCACTCTCAGGACCCCGTTATCATAAGGAGAAGGCATAATGACAATGAGTAACAATATATGGGATGTTTACACCATAATCAACCGAGCATATCCAGCCTCAAAACAACTAGCACCAAGGCAGACACGCCTTCTCCCCTGCCGAAGGAAGATACTCTTCCGAGGTGCCAAGTACCTGCTGAAACTCCCGACTGCCAAAGCTCACAAACTGCTAAACCTAATCTCCATGACACGTGTCACCACCGCAGCAACTTGCACAAAGTCCCACATCGGAAATCTACACCAACCTCCCACTTTCACTTCCCTATAAAAAAAAGGCACAATACCCTAGTAAAAAGGGTAACTACTTTTCTGCCTTTTACTGTTACTCTGCAAAAGTTACCCTTTTTAGCTGACTTAAGAATCGGAAAGCCTTCGGCCAGCACCACACCGGTGTCCGAAGCTTAACGACTACTTCCCCTATTTTTGTCTTATGCATGCTAGCCTTTATTGAAGGTCCAGGCCCTTTCCCTGCTGAAGGCAAACCTCATTTTCTCTAAGTTGACCCTCTCCGAAAAAGAGCATCAACAGTTTGGCGCCGTCTGTGGGAAGCGATACTTGAATCCCATTTTTCTCTATCAGCCCAGCTGGCTCCTTCTCCTATCTGGCCCTGTCGCCTCTTCTTCACTCCACACTCAGTTATGCCTACTGAGGATAACCACGGGACTCAGCACCATACCCCCCATGAGGGTACCTCCCAGAGGAGACCTTCAACAGATGCCAATCTCCAGACAGAACTGGAGAGCCTCTGCGCCAGTGTCACCAAGATCTCCGAGAAATATGACCATCTTCATGCTAAGAATGTCGAGCTCGAGCATGACTACCGCACACTGAAGCGTAACTGGGAGATGAATCAAGCCCAGGGCTACCAACGTAGCCTTACCCGGGAACCTGAGCGTACCCAGCCAAACTAGCCGGAGCACTCCCACCACAGTGTCCCAATCCAGCCTAGGCCCAGTAAGGGTAAAGGCCTCCTCCATCCGGAGACGTCCAAGTAGTGACTCCTCCGCATCTCCCCGTCGAGGAACTGGCCCCATTAACCAACAAAGGTCTACAGGGATTGCAGGGACTGTATCCTGGACCGTCAGACGGAACCCTCTTTTATCCCTGTTAATCTCCAAGACCCAAAGGTGACACACCTAGGCCCCCCACCAAAGCCTACCCAACTACCCCCTGGAGAAGGTATAGGGGACTCGGAGAACTGGGGGCAGGATTACTTAGAAGACTACGAGTCTTATCACACCGAGGCGTTCGAAGAACTTTACTCAGCCCATGGCCACCTACACACCGAGACTCTCCCTCATACCGACCCGGCAATGAGGCTTCTCTTTGAGAAAGTCCGGCGCCTGGAGAGCGAGCAACAGTGCAACCACCAACTCCTCTAGGCAAAGCCACAACCTGGGCCCTTTACCGAACGCATCCTTAATTACCACCAGGAGAAGGACATCCAGCCACTTCGCATCGCCTTCTACACTGGCACGAAGGATCCTCTCACCCACATACATTCTTTCCAGTCTGCCCTGGGGTGCAAAAGCCTCACTGACAAAGGCATGTGCCTCATCTTCCCTTCCACTCTCAGTGGCGCAGCCCTGAATTGGTTTTACATGCTGAACCCCCGCACCATCAACACATTTGACAATCTGAAGCAGGCCTTCCTGGACCATTTCATGATCCAGACTGATCGCCTCTACTCCGTGGACGACCTATACATGCTTAGACAGGGTGAAGACGAGCCCCTTCGGGAGTATGCAGCCAGGTCCAGACTGATCGCCTCTACTGATGATTGTGCAACCTTCGGTGCTTTCAAAAGTGGCCTCCGAGAGTCCAACTTCCAGTACCTGGTCCACAGCAACCCTTGGAACACATATGCCGAGCTGATGAAGCAGGCAACAGTTCACACCTAGGCCGAGTACTTCAACCCCAAGCGCAGCCCAGCCACCCCGGCGCGTAATCTTTTTGCTGGTCCTCCACCTGCTTCAGAACCTATCCCAACTCCACCTCAACATTCTGCCCCTACACCAAGCACCCAGGGTGCCCAGCACCCCAAGAGGAAGGATAGCTACCAGCATACCTTCAGCAATAACAAGCGAGGCAGACATGGCAACCACCACCAATCTAGTGGAAGCAACCCCCCCAAGACAAATGACCGGGCCCCACTCCCTTTCTCACCCAAACCCAGGTTCGAGGTCTTCACCACCCTAAACACTACCTATGAGAATGTCCTAGTGCACGAGGCACCTATCATACCCCAGCCTCCACCTCGGAAACCAGGCAACAAGCCTATGCCTAACATAGGTGTCTTCTGTCGCTTTCATCAGTTGAATGGCCACGATACCAAATCTTGTGTTGCCTTGCGCAACATCATTGAGGCCCTCACCCCCACCTAACCCTCACCAACGGCAAATCAACATGATCTCAACCATCAGTGGTGGCCCTACCATGGCTGGAACCTCCAACAACTCCATCAAACATTATGTCCGCTCCACCTATGCACAACAGGTCTTCAGCACTGAGCAGGGACGCTTGCCAAAGACAAAAAACAGGCTGGGTCCCCATTACCTTCTGTGAGGAGGAGGAGCTTGGCGTTATCTTCCCTCATTATGACCCAATCATTATCCGCATCAACATCTCTACTTTCGACGTTGGGCGCATCTTGGTAGACACTGGCAGCTTGGTCAGTGTGATGTTTGCTGATGCCTTCAACGAGCTTCAGGTCCCGTCTCATTTGCTCGACCGAAGCATCACGGCCCTAGTATGCTTTTCGGGCGATGTGGTCCAGCCTATTGGGAGTAATCATCTCCCTATCTCTATTGGCGCAGCACCCTAGCGGATGACGGTCACCACTCCCTTCCTCATTATTGATTGCCCCACAACCTACAACGTCATCCTTGGGCGCCCTGCGATGGCCTAGATGAAGGTTTTCATTTCCACACATATGTTACTGTTGAAATTTCCTACGCCCCATGGCACGAGCATGGTGCGCGGCGATCAACTTGGCGCCCGAAGTTACTATGCTTTGGCAGTAAAGTCTACTAATTGCCAACATAAGGGTGAGGCCCTAGTGGTAACCCAGGCCCCAGCCCCACATCGAGCTGGCATTGAGCGCCCAGAAGACCCTAGGGAGGAATCTACCACCCAACAGGCCGAACCTGTGGAGGACCTCAAATTGGTCACTCTCCATGAGGACATCCCAGATTGATAGGTCAGGATCGGCACCTCCCTCTCACAAGAGCTTCGCTCTGATCTTGTTGCCTTCCTCCGCCTCAACTCTGAGGTCTTTGCTTGGTCTTACAACGATATGCCGGGCATATCACCTGAGGTCATCTCTCATAGGCTTAGCATTAATCCTATCGTCCGACCCGTTCGGCAGAAGCGTCGTGCTTATGACCCGGAGCGGTATGAGGCCATGAAGGCGGAGGTGGATAAGCTGAGCACTATTGGATTCATCAAGGAGGTGGATTATCCCACCTGGCTAGCCAATATGGTAATGGTACGTAAACCAAGGAAGGGCTAGCGCATGTGCGTAGACTACATAAATCTCAACCAAGTCTGCCCAAAGGATAGTTTCCCCCTACCCCGCATTGACTAACTAGTTGACGCCACAGCTGGCCACGCCCTCCTCAGCTTCATGGATGCTTACTCAGGGTACAACCAAATCTTCATGCACCTTGAGAACCAAGCTCATACATCATTCATCACTGACCGTGACCTTTACTGCTACAAAGTCATGCCCTTCGGCCTCAAGAACACCGGGGCTACGTATCAGCGTCTGGTGAACAGTATCTTCGCTCCACTAATTGGTAACACCATGGAGGTTTATATTGATGACATGCTCGTCAAGAGTCGCACTGCTGTCCAGCACATCCCCAACCTCTCTGGCATGTTCGCAATTTTGAAACAGTATCGGATGAGGCTCAACCTCTCTAACTAGCACCCTTTCACCTTCCCTCCGAAATTCCTTGTACCTGCAATAATTTAAAATTCAAATTTCAAGTTATTCCAAAAAAAAAAAAAAGAAAAAAAAACGGCAAGGCCCAGGGAAAAATTTTTGGGAGTCACAAAAAATTCACACCTTGCCCAAACCTTGACGAACCCAAGCCCTTGAGAAAAATTGACTGAGCCGGCCCTGAAGTTTGACCAAAGAGCTCAAGGACTCAGGTCCCTTGCTAAAATCACCAAGTCGGAAGGTCCGGCTCCAAAACAGGCCCGGCCCTAACGCAAACCTAGCTCTCAGCGGTCCCGAGCTGAAACACCAAGGAGATTGGGGCCCGCGGTGCTGGAGAGACCCTTGCCTGCTCCTGGTTCTCACCCAAGCCCAAAGCCTAGCTCACACCAACGCTGCCGCAATCAAGGAGGCCCAGCTCCAGTCCTTGCCTAAACCTACAGGCCGAAACCTTCTTGCCCAGCTCCAAACACACTACACTAAGGGCACCATGAAGGGCCTAGCTTCAAGGATCCTAAATTTGACCTCAAGGCCCAACTACAAGCTACAGCAGGCCCAACCCCAAGTGACCTAGCTCCCAAACCTCACTCAAACCTTACCGAAGCCCCATCTACACGGACCCAGCTCCGAGCTCCCTACCGACCTTGGCCCAGCTCCAAATCCTCACTATTTGCTGAGGCCCAAGCTTGCAACCAAACCCTCAAGTAAGCTGAACCCAACTCAACTTCTGGCTTAACGACAAAATGGATAGCAAATAAACAATATGAAAAAGAAAATGTCCTTGCCGAACTGCAAAGCCCATGAAGACATCTTTAGGAGCACGAAACATACCAGCCAAGGTCACCAACACCCGGTTCCAAGGACTCAGCTCCACTTGCCAAAGAGAACTTGCCGAACAAAAAATGAGCACCACCTATGTAGTTTCTCAACCCACCCTTCGGCAAGGGCTGAGCAAACACAAAATGGCTTCACAAGATACAAAAAAGGCCAAGCTCTTTTTACTCACCAAGCCCAGATTGCTCAAGACACCCACCACAATCTAGAGCTCCAAATTACCTCAGCCTTGCCAGAAAGTACCCAGCTCCACGGCACCCTTTTCTCCAAGGCTCGGGTACCCAAAAACCAGTGCCTCGGCTTTGATTTGATTTTACCAAACAACCCTTACCAAACAACCCTTGCTGACGAAAAGAACAAAGAACCCAGCCACCTGCACGAATAAACTCAGCTTTGATTTTACCAAACAACCCTTGCCGAACGGCAAGGGTTGAGCAAGGGAAATATGGCTTCGAAAATTACATACCTGAAAAATTCGAGCAGCCCTGCCTCTTTCAAAACTCGAGCAGCCCTGCCTACACCTCTGGGAACCCGAGCCACCCTTGCCGTTCGGCAAGGGTTGAGCAGAACCAAATGAAGGCCCTCTCCTTCGAATTGCCTTGGCACACCCGAACCAACGTAGCCCAACCCGCCCAAAAAAAAAAAAAAAAAAAAAAAAAAAAAAAAAAAGACTCTTGGTCTCAGCCCATTTGCTGAAGGTGCACGCAACAACACATCAGCATTTTACAAAACCAAAAAGAAGAGGGAGAGCTGGCCTTGCCGAACTGCAAGGCCCATGAGATTGTTTGGGAGGACTTACAACGTCACGGCCCTCAGACACCTTGCCGAAGCAAGCTCACTGGAGAAGGGCCCAGCTCAAAATCTCGACTCCAAGCCTTTCCTTCTTGCTGACAGCTTGAAGGGTTCTCAAAACGTTGAGCAACACCCTTGCCGAACGGCAAGGGTCTAGCAGCACCCACGAGATCACCTCCCTTCGACACCAGCACCTCGAAATCTGCAAAGATAGCCTTTCCTTGTACCCTTGCCGATCGGCAGCTCTATTGGAAGATAGCCAGGACCCAGATCACCTCCCTCTTTCGGAACCTGCGGAATATTTAAATGCCCAGCTCCAGGCTCTATCAAAGTTTTGAAGTATAAGGAACTTGGCTCTATTGCCGAACGGCAAGAGCAGCCAAAACAAATTTTTTATAAACCCCCCACAATGCCAAACCCTAGGACCTATTTTCCATTTTCGGACCCTTACCAAAGGCCCAGCTATGATTCACCCCAAGCCCACCATACCGAAGCCAAGACACTTCTGGAGGCCCAAGACACAATATAAAAGGGCAAACCAACAAGGATCCCAGCTCCATTTATCGAAGCCCACACAGAAGGCCCAACCTTCTTGCCATGCCAAAGCCCAATTTAAAGGTCCAGCACTTGCCAAGACTTGGAAGGACAAGCTTCCTTGCCGAAAGTTACACACCAACCCGAGGCACTCAAGCCCTTGGCCGAACGGCAAGGGCCATGCATTTTATGTCTGGGCTTGCACACAAAAATTTTAACCTTACAAATAGCCAAAAAAAAAAAAAAACAAAAAAAAAAAAACATCTGGCCTCCTTACCAAACGGCAAGAAGCATTGAGACCAAAGGAAAGCTATCCAGTGCTCCATTTCTAGAAACCTCAGGGCCCCGGCCTCTACCAATGCTCAACTCCACAGGGCCCAGCCCCGAGTTCCTTGCAAAATGCCCAGGTACCCAGCTACCAACAGTTCTAAAGGCTCACAATACTTTTATTATACCTTCCAAGTACTGACGCAACTTCTAGCTTGCCAACTTGGGGGACTAGGGATTGCCCTACGGCTCCCACTGAACCTGGAATGATCGGTCATGATTACACAAAAAGCTCACAAGTTCCCAACCTAGAAGTTACTTCTTGACCGCGAACTTGGGGGACTACTATTTACACCATAATCAACCGAGCATATCCAGCCTCAAAACAACTAGCACCAAGGTAGACACGCCTTCTCCCCTGCCGAAGGAAGACACTCTTCCGAGGTGCCAAGCACCTGCCGAAACTCCCGACTGCCAAAGCTCACAAACTGCTAAACCTAATCTCCATGACACGTGTCACCACCGCAGCGACTTGCACAAAGTCCCACATCGAAAATCTACACCAACCTCCCACTTTCACTTCCCTATAAAAAAAGGGCACAATACCCTAGTAAAAAGGGTAACTACTTTTCTGCCTTTTACTATTACTCTGCAAAAGTTACCCTTCTTAGCTGACTTAAGCATCAGAGAGCCTTCGTCCGGCACCATACCTGTGTCCAAAGCTTAACGACTGCTTCCCCTATTTTTGTCTTCTGCAGGCTAGCCTTTATTGAAGGTCCAGGCCCTTTCCCTGCTGAAGGCAAACCTCATTTTCTCTAAGTTGACCCTCCCTGAAAAAGAGCATCAACATGGGAGACAAATTACAATAGCTATTGAATAAAGCAAAAAATTGAGTATTTGTTATGCTTCATGAATAACCTATTTTTAAATTCTTATTCTAGATTATGTTCTATTAGATTCAACAGATCTCTGATTCAGTTTGCATTTGACAACCAAACATGCCCTGATAAATTCAGGTACGTCCATGTCAATGTACAATTACCGAGCAAAACTTTATGGCGTCAATTAAAAGCCCGCTGCTTTGACCAAATTTCTAAATTTAAGATTATCACCATTCCTAGACCAAATTTCAGAACTCTCATCACAACCTATACGAAACTTTGCACTCTAATTACTGCTATAAAATTACATGGCCAACCCAAGCATTATCATAACAATCATAAAATCAAAGAATTTCATTTCATAATGTAAACCCAAAAAAAGGCAAAAGAGGGGAAACATAATGAAAACGCAATAAGCATACCACCAAAGAATTAAAGTAGCCCAAAGCAACTTTACTTTCAGAAGTCAAAATGCGTTCCACCTCGTCCAATGTGGTCACATTTTGAATACCAGGTCCTATCTTCTTCTTGATCCATGTAACTATGCCCTCTCTGAAATCACGTTTCAAAAAAAGAGAAGAAAAAAAAAACACTCAATTTCTGTAATTTTCATAATTCTATCAAACTAAATGAAAAGTTAGAAATAAATAATTGCAAGAAAGAAAGAAGAAACTCACTTGGTCCTTTGACCTGTGTAAGGCTTGTGAACACCATCAACGAAGAATAACACAGTAGGGAAACCCTCGGCACCATAATCCTAAGATAGCCTGTTTTCCTCAGTGGCATTGACTTTGGCCAAAATTACATTTTCACCCTTGAGCTCTGTGGCTGCAGCCGCGTACTCAGGAGCCAAGGCCTAGTAGTGTTCGCACCACAACGCGTAGAACTCAACCATGACGAACCTGTTCTTCTCCACCGTGTCGCTGAAGTTCGTCCCCTTCAAAACAATGACGTCCTTCTCGTCCACCTCCGGCTCCTTATACAGGTCCTCATGATCACCATCGCCCTCGTTGAAATCGGAGAAATTCTTGAGAAAGAAAAGGTGAGATCTGATTTTGAAAGGCTTTTAAACAAAAAAGATAAAATTGTATTTTACCTTTATAATTCAGATAGGCCCAATGAATCTGGGCCTCATCTTTGGCCACATCCGAAACAAAATTTGATTCCTATGTATCAAAACCAAAACAGAAATACTCTAGGTATCAAATCCTCATTAGTAAAGATTTTTATGTCTAATACCTAAGTTTTCTTAAGTATTATAGTTATTTTTAATTCAATATTATTGGTTCATCTCTATAAAATTTATAAATAAAAAAAATAAAAAATAAAAAGTAGCTAGCATTAATTAAAAGTTTAAACAATGCATAAAACAAAGCAGCATTAAATTATAGGGAGCCACTAAGAGTCATTTCTCTCTCCTCAAATTTAGGAGCTCCTAAAAGTCTCCATATTTTAGAGCAATCACAATGGGCTTCCTAAATCATTTCCTTAGACAAATTTTAGGGAGGAATTAGAAAAATATAGCTCCAACCATGCTCCCTATCCGCCTCCAGCATGATTGTAGATGCTCTTAGGAGGTGGATAGGGAGTATGGTTGGAGTTGTATTTTTCCAATTTCTCCCTGAAATTTTATCTAAGAATGTGGTTTAGGGAGCCCGTTATGAATGCTCTAAATATGTTAAATCTTGTGGATATAAGTTTTGATTACTTGGCCACATTACTGAATTTGTGGACTGTAATCAACAATAGACAATTGATGTCTTGCGTCCATTATATTTAATAAAATTGGACCTATTTCCAAGAAGTCCTAATATTTTTCCCAATATGTCATACTTGCCTCGATTGGTTTACTTATATTGGTTTTTATTATTCGTAAGGTATTTTATTTTATAGAGCATCCCAACAAAAACATATTCGTTTTTAGTATCCAATAATTATTATTAGTTCCTGCACACAGAATAATAAAAAAATCATTAATTTATCATTTTTTTAATAGGTGTTCACCTGATTTTTTTATCCAAAAAGTCCGGGGTGATCTTATATATGGAGCACCCTACAAACTTTTTATTTGTCAAGCACAAACACAACAACACCTAAAATAATTAAGAAGTGGAAGAAGATGTTAAACCTCCTGAATGAAACCTTCTCAAGCTTGTTGCAACCTTTTTCCTTCAAGTATTTAGCACTTCTTACAATTTTCGTCATCCTTATATACAAATGGTTCTCCACTTCCGCAAACTCATCACCACCTTCTCCACCAAAGCTCCCTATCATTGGAAACCTTCACCAACTAGGCCAGCACCTTCAGCGCTCTCTTCAAACCCTAGCTCAACGCCACGGGCCGCTCATGCTCCTCCATTTCGGAAGTGTGCCGGTCCTTGTGGTCTCCTCAGATGAGACTGCCCGCGAGATCATGACAACCCATGACATCACATTCGCCAACAGACCCAAGAACACCTTCTTCAAGAAGTTTTGCTACAACTTCAAAGACGTGGCCTCGGCTCCTTATGGTGAGTATTGGAGGCAGATGAAAAGTATATGCGTCTTAAATCTCCTTAGCAACACAAGGGTTCGTTCTTTTCGTGCCGTAAGAGAAGAGGAAACTAAATCCATGATCGACAATATAACTAAGCACTGCTCCTCATCCCCCTCCTCAGTATCATCAGCGTTTAATTTAAGTGAAATGCTTGAGACGCTTACGAATGATGTTATCTGTAGAGTGGCTCTTGGGAGGAAGTACAGCGATGGCGGGGAATCTGGGAGGACGTTTAAGAAGCTTGCTGGGGAGCTGATGTTGGTGATGCCACGTATCCATATTGGAGACTATATCCCATGGCTTGCCTGGATCGCCCGTCTCAATGGTTTGGACGCCAAGTTTGACGATCTGGCTAAACGGCTCGATGAGTTTCTAGAAATAGTTGTTCAAGAGCATATGGACGAATTTCGTGGTCTTACAAAGAATGAGGACCAAAAGGATCTTGTGGACATTCTGCTTTGCCTTCATGCTGATTCTCCAATTGACAGAGTTAGCATCAAGGCTATCATCTTGGTAATTAACTCTCTCTCTCTCACTCACTCTCTCTCTCTCTCTCTCTCTCTCTCTCTCTCTCTCTCTCTCTCTCTCTCTCTCTCTCTCTCTCTCTCACACACACACACACACATGCATAGTGGTGTTGGATTGTCTTATCTTTTGCACCATAGTAATACTAGAATTACTCATTTTGTTCAAAGAATGATGTTACAATATGCTTGTTATGTGATCATATCTAAAGAAATAAATAAGTTTAACCAGAATTGGACCATATCTGAAATTTTTTATTGTCAAACTTGTGCTAGCCAGCCAAGAAACACAAAGAAAAAGATGTGTTGTGTGACAAGATACTAGTAATATTAAAAATAAAATGTTTTGTAAAAAACTAATATAAGTCAAACATTTTGGACTAACTTGGTATTTTTTTAGGCTTATTTATTGATATGCCTCTTATGTTGTACCGAAAATCTCAAATTGCCCTTACAATTTCAACTGAGTCAATGTGCCCCCTATGCTTTCGTTTTGTGTCTAATGTTTCCCTCATTCAGTCAATTTCTTTGGTAACATCGTTATCTTGTTGATGTGGCATGGGTATTTTTATAATTTTAGCTATTTAAAAATTCAACTTATATTAGATTGTTGTGTTCTAATATTTCTTTGAAGAGCAGACATGGGCTTAGGCAAGTTGGCTAGAGCAGATATTCTCCCACTCTACACTCGAGTTCGAATCCCCCTCCCTGTAATTTAGAATAGAACATCGCTTGTATAAATAAAAAATATAAAAAATTCTTTGAAGCATGAGTATTTTCAGGGTTTTTGAATGTTTCACTTTTAAAGCCTTCTACCTTTTTATATATATAGATATATAGATAGATGACGTATGGGTTATTCCTAACCCCAATTCTTTGGGTTTTAAATATAATTTTCCATTAATTTTTAATCGATTTTTACCATTAAAATTCTTGTAGGATGTGTTTGTTGGTGGCACTGATACCTCATTTACACTCCTAGAGTGGACAATGTCCGAGCTTTTAAGGCATCCAAGAGTCATGGAAAAATTGCAGAATGAGGTACGAGGGATAGTGGGCAAGAAAACAGACATAATTAGAGAGGATGATTTGGTTGGAATGCACTACTTGAAGGCAGTGATCAAGGAGACTCTTCGCCTACATCCTTCAATTCCATTGCTATTGCCCAGGCTATCGACCCAAGATGCACAAATAAATGGCTACGACATTAAAGCCAACACACAAGTTATAGTGAATGCATGGCAAATTGGAAGAGATCCCAAGTCATACAACAAACCAGAGGAGTTCGAGCCAGAAAGGTTCTTGGACAGTGTCATAGATTATAAAGGCAATTACTTCCACTACATTCCATTTGGGGCTGGTAGAAGAGGTTGCCCAGGAATTCAGTTTGCCATGGCTGTCCAAGAGATTGCTTTGGCAAATTTAGTGCACAAGTTCGACTGGGCGCTGCCCAATGGCACAAGAGGGGAGGACTTAGACATGACTGAATCTACTGGAGGAAGCATTCGCAGAGTATATCCTCTTAAAGTTGTTGCTATTCCATATTAGGGCTAATATAGTGTTGGTGTATCCGAATTAGATATCGTTTATTCACAACAAATAAGAAATTATCATATCTTACGTTATTATTTGGTAATCAAATTTTGAAATAATGGTATTGATATAAATATGTATTTATGTATATATATATATATATATATATATATATATCTATTAAGAAAAGTGTGGAATTGCTTGTGGGCTCACTGACATCCAGTTGGTGAAATGTCCGTTGTTTGGTTTCCCAGGAAAGGATTTTCTAATAAACTCTCACTTTGTCTTTTATTTATTTATTTAAAGGATACTAGTCTCTTCACACGCGCTTTCGCGCTTGCGAGAGGCTTTTTTTTTAAAAATTTATATTTATTTTAGAATTAAAAAAGATAATGGTTAGTTGTGTTCCATAAAATAGGATCCATTATCTGATTTTTCTTTTAATTTTAATTTTTTTAATATGAAAAAGTGTGAATTTACCATATTATCCTCATTTAATTAATAATTTAAATTCTTAATGTTTACATTAACCTAGGGCATTTTCTTATATTTTGAATGTTTTACCATTATCTGCCTTTTGCTTTTTATATATATATATATAATTAAAAAGGGACGTGAAAAACGCATAATTACCATAATTTTATGACCTGATTTGAGTATTATATGTTAATGTATCCAAGGTATTAAAAAGAGTACAAAGGTACAGTACAGAGGTGGGTGCTTGGGGAAGTGGAGGAGATGTCTGCTGTGCGGTGGAGGAAGAGGGAGAAGGGTGGGGTATGCATGTTGTGAGGGAAGGGGTTTGATATTTGTTAATAATATTTTTAGCTTTTTTTTATAATCATTTTCTTATGTTTTTTAATTAGTTTTAATGATTTTCCCTTAAGTCTTTAGAAGTCATTTTATAAAAGGGTAAATTTTTTTTTAAAACTTACAAGATTAGATGGGTAAGGAAATAGGACAATTGAGTGGAAATAGCAGCATTCATTAAAAAAAAACAAAAATAATCGTACCTACCACACATGCTACAAATAAACCAACACTTCCGTAAAATAACTACAATAGCTTATGTTTTTTATATTTTATGTTCTCCTTATTTTTGGTCTAACTGTAATTTTTTAGACATTATTTATTTCTGTAGTTGGTCATTATTTATTATGTGGAGTAATTTTTTGATCCAAATATTTTTTTATGTGGAATATATTTTTTTATACATTTTCTATGTTGCAAACTGTGAACTCCATTATAAAAAAAACAGGTCAATGGTTGGATACCGTGAAAAGACGCGAACTCATTTTGTTTCATTTTCTACGTTGCAAACTGTGAACTCCATTGAAAAAAAGGGCAATGGTTGGATACCGTGAAAAGATGCGAACTCATAGCAGGGATCATAAGGTTGGATACCGTTTGTCGTCTTCAATTATTTCTAATCAAATTTTAGATGCCACTATATATAAACCAAACTGGTTTCTCTCATACAGTATGTAGCCAAACACAACTTGTAGATAGGTACGTAACCAGTTTAATAGTTGTCATACAACGGTATGAAAAGGTATTAAATGTTATCGAAATGCAATTTTTTGGAGAATTGACTTGTGATAGTGCCATAATAGTATTTCGGGTACAAAAAAGTTAAAGCTACATATTTACAGGCTAGGCATTTTAAGTTGGGTCATTCATGACCCATATCCAACTTAAAATGATCCATGTGAGTCATCAAATGGGTCAAATCCATTAGCTTCGCCATATGGACGTTTTTGCCTTCTTATTGGGCCTCTTGGGCCTTTGTGGTTATGTAGTTACCTACAACTTATGCTACAAGCCAATGGGCCTTGAACCTAAAATCCAATTTTAGGCCCAATAAAATTCTTGAGTCTTGATTAATTACTTAATCTTTATTAACTAATTAATTATTGCTCATCTTCTTCAAATTAATTTTTTATTTCTCACCTTTATGGGTGTGCGATCCATTAAGTTCTAATTGGCAAGGCAGCGGTCATTTCATACTCTTAATCGATTGTGAATTAAAACTCCTTTTTAATTCTCCCTACTGTGAGGACCACGTTATGGCATGTACTCAGGGCTTCCACAAACAGTGAATAACGTCTAGCAATATGTCACGGTTACCCAAACCAATGTAGAATAAAGTGGAGAACCTGTAGTTGGAATTACAATGTAAAACGGTCCTTCTCGAACTCAATGCTCTTGGTCATATCATTAGGGTATGGAAAATATGTCAAGCCCCTATGTCAAGCCCCTAATGTGAACTCAAAGCTTATATGATTCATACAAGTACAATTGGAATTAGTATTCTCAATCATACCTAGTGCTTCGGCCAAAGACTCCTAAATCATATCGTCACAACATTCTCAGAGATCCCTTGTTGTACACTCACATGCCTCCATGAATTGATCATGAACCCCAACCATACCTTAGAGTCATGCTCTCCAGGGAACTCAATTATTTTGTAGTGCACTTAGGTAATTTACATTATTGCAACTATAAAGATTTTGTTTGATATGTAAGTAAAACTTCCATACAAGATCTCTCGATTGATCACATTTAGTGAATTTACTCTCTAGTAAATACCCATACGCTTATCTTAGTGTCTCTACACAAATGACTTGAGACCAATCATCCTCTCAATTGAGTAAATACAATGTATACCGATATTTGTGGATTGTCAATGCCCAACTGAATGATCATATGACTAGGAACTCTTTAGGGAGTGAGTTATAGGGAAAGGTCTTATGGACCTAACTTCTTTAGATTTCTTTTCGCATCTCATAGCCCATGGACTTGTCATTTAGGTAGATAACTATTAATGAGACTTTTACATAAATTGATGTAATTGCCCTTACGATTTACTATAAAGGGTAATGAAATATCCTTAAAGAAATTGGTACTTAGGTGAAGTGGAGTAAATTAAAAGCTAATTTAAAGATTTAACAACTACACAAAGCTCAACTTAACCTGAGATCAATATGACTAGTCAACTGTTAGTCATAAACTAGCAACAATCACACACACAGAGAAATAACCAATACCTGCAAGCCTAGAAGATCACTAGTGACAACCTAGGCATTTACAAGGATCCGTCAATCTAGGCATCCCTTGTGCTAGCAACAACTAAAGTGAGAAGTGCGTGTGAATACATCAAGATCAAATAAACAGCAACATTCAGATGATGACTAGTCAATAGCAAGAACACAACACCAGAAAAGCATGAACAACGAACCCAGAAAATTGTTCACCCAGAAAGCCACCATTGGGAAAACTGGGAGTCATCGTCCGACCAGGCAATTCACTAAGCAAAGAAGATTCTTACAGAGAAATCACAACCAAGCTCAAGGAAACCTAGATCTATTTAGGAAACGAGCTATACCCTCCATCATGCAATCTTCTTTTCCAAACTTAGAAAAGCTTGCAGATAGTTCTTCATGATAATGGTAGCTACCTTCAGATGATGACTAGTCAATAGCAAGAACACAACACCAGAAAAGCATGAACAACGAACCCAGAAAATTGTTCACCCAGAAAGCCACCATTGGGAAAACTGGGAGTCATCGTCCGACCAGGCAATTCACTAAGCAAAGAAGATTCTTACAGAGAAATCACAACCAAGCTCAAGGAAACCTAGATCTATTTAGGAAACGAGCTATACCCTCCATCATGCAATCTTCTTTTCCAAACTTAGAAAAGCTTGCAGATAGTTCTTCATGATAATGGTAGCTACCTTCTTAACTCGTTCATCCCATGGCACCAGCTTACACAGCTCAACCCCAAACAAGAAAAAAAAAAATTGGATTCAAAATAAAATGATCAATTTCTTCAAGAAACCATACTCTTGAAGAATTCAATCTTGAATCTGACCTAGATCTATATGTGTATGTGTGAAAAACTCATTTATGAAAAGATGAAGAAATCACTCCTAAGGAAAGGAGAGCAAAGGAGGAAAAACTCACAACCTCTAAAAAACACCTTTCTAGAAGTGATGACTACCTCAAAGAATGAAGTGTCCATTTACCCAAAAGAGTATCAGAGAATATGACAAAATTCTTTAGGACCCAGCTGGAAATGTAAATGAGCTGGCAGACCTCATGTTGCACAAGAGATGACTAGTCAAACACATACAAGTTGACTAGTCATAACCTAATACAAGTTTACCTTCGGCATCCCTTGATTATGTTGAGCCATTGATGATCAAAGCCAAAGGAGAACAACTAGATAACAATTTAACCTAGTCTAATAATCTTGAGCTTGGGAAATACATTACATGTGCTATTATAAAGTTGTCAAGGAAAGTTAAAAGAAAACTAGCTAGAATACATCTTAACACTTAACATTACATTATATATTTTGACTTTAGGGCACTGAATTACTAGAATTTGTGCATTTAATAACCAACTTTAACAACTATTATCGATAGCAAAATGACTAATATTCATGCATGTGTCTTGCACAGAAAATGACACTTCGTTTATACCTACATTACGTTGTTTTCTGTTGTCTTCGATAGCATATAGCAGAATTATAAACAGAGCAATAGTTTCTACAATGAATTTTGATGGCAAACTTATTCAGAAAAATTAGTTGACGTAATTGTATTGTAGTTTTCTATTTTTGACAGTGATTTTGTTTTCTGTTAGTATTGTAGTTATCCATATATGTTAGATTGTAGATTGATAATTGTGTTTGAGGTGGTTCTGGTAGTGTCTTTGTGTTGCTAGAATTCTAATTGTATTTGATAGTGTCTTTTTATTATTTTTTTATTTTTTTATAATTTGATAGTATTTTTTGTTCTTGTTCCAGTTATGATTTTGTTGTATGTTGTGTATTTGTAGATTGATCATTGTGTTTGAGGTGTTTATGATATTGTCTTGGTTTGCTTGTATGTTCTGTTTTTCTTAGAGTTGTAAATGACTGAAGTTTCTATTTTCGTTTTACTTCATTGATATCTACATTACTTCGTTATAAAAGTAGTAGTTGATTCCAATTTTGTTTTTTTAAAGGATTATATTTGTTATAGGTGGATGATCACTACTACAAAAAGTGACAAAGACGACTAGAAAAAAACGACGGTCTAAGGGAAAACCGTCGTTGTTTTTTAAAAGACGACGGTTCTATAAAACCACCGTGTAAGAACAACTTAAACACCTAAAAAATGGAGATTCCAATGGTTGTTTCTAAAAAACGACACACCTAATTAAAAAACCGACGTCTTATTGAAATAAGATTTCGACAGAGTAAAATCTAAGCCAACAAAGAACGGCCGAAGGTATGAATAGATCGACGTAGAAAGTAAAGACAACGATGTCAAAAAAAGCCGCCGTTTCTCCTCAGAAATTAACACGACCAAGTTTTCGTATAAGGCGCCGTATAATTACAAATAAATCCACAGCGGTATAATACAAAATACCGCCGTATTAAATTAATGTACAACTACGGCAAAGATAAATTTATCGACGTCTTTCTTGTATAGTTCTACGACAGTATCTTTTACTCTCACCACGTTGGGGTTTTTCATTTAACGACGTATTATAAAATTTACCGTCGTATTTATTCACTTTATACGTCATACCTTATATTTAAACTGTCGTCTTAATAAGAATTTTTTTTAACAATTTATTTCTTGGATTTTGTTATCCTACGTCGGTAGATCAACTTAATGACAAGAATTGAAATAACCACGACGGTTTATATAGAAAACCGCCGACATAATCAGATTTTTCTGAGATCCCAAGGGTTACGAAATCTTACCAAATGGAACTCTGTTCCTCATCATAATCGGTCCACAGAAAGACAATATTTTAGAGGTTAATGATGTATGTGTATTTGTGTCTTTGAGATACACAAACGCACATACACATTAACATCCAAAAAATTGCCTCTGAAATTTGATGACGGCAGCCTCATTGCAATCAGAAAGACAATTTTTTGGAAGTTGATGATGTGTGTGCGTTTGTGTATCTATACAAACGCATACACACATCAACATCCAAACAATTGCCTCCTAAAATTTCACAACGGCAGCCACAGATTTGAAATCAGAGAGACAATTTTTTTAACGTTGGTGATGTGTGTATGTTTGTGAATCAAATACACAAACATACACACACACCAACATCCAAACAATTGCCTCCTAAGAGGTGAGACAGAGAAAAGGGCAAGAAGAAGTTGAAACCCTAATTGAAAACTAAAACTGAAAGAACTCGTGAAAAAAAACTCTATTTATAAGTAAAAAAAAAAATCCACGTCGGTTATATTACACATAACGACGTTTAACAAAAAGAATCTACATCGGTCCGTACCAACTCTTTAGACTATAAAATACTTCCCACATCGGTTATGGTATTTCCACGACGTAGTACAGATATATTAAGGCGGTTTATTATACACACCACGGTGCGAAACAAATATATTGCGTCGTCTTAGTCTCAGAGCAAAAAACCAACGACATAACCAATTAAGTAACTGACGTAGAAATTAAAGACGTTGGTAATTATAAACCTACCGCCATCTTACTTTAATATACTACGACGACATTTAAGACGACCAAAAAAGACAACGGTAGAACAAAAAACCGTCGTTGTTTTTATATTCGTATTTGATTTTAATAGGTGAGACAGAGAAAAGGGCAAGAAGAAGTTGAAACCCTAATTGAAAACTAAAACTGAAAGAACTCGGGAAAAAAAATTCTATTTATAATTAAAAAATAAAATCCACGTCGGTTATATTACACTTAACGACGTTTAACAGAAAGAATCTACGTCGGTAATTATAAACCTACCACCATCTTACTTTAATATACTACGACGACAAAAAAGACGACCAAAAAAAGACGACGGTAGAACAAAAAACCGTCGTTGTTTCAGTTTTCAACATTCACAGATTAGGGAGAAACTTGAGTACAATCATCGATTGTCTCGAAAATGATATGCTAGTTTGGTGGATCAATTGGAGGAAACCATGCCCAGGGAAGAAAGCTAGACAAGACAAACATGGTAACATCCCTGATCCAAAGGTGGCAGAGAAAGCAAAATTAATTGTAAGCCTACTCACAACAGAGGGTAAAGTTTGTCGATCAATTAAAGGAAAGTGTAAGACTTGTCCTTCGAGAAGAGACTTTGAAGATGGAAGCTAGATCAAGGGAAGAGACTTTAAAGATGGAGGCTAGAACCAAGCAATTGGTAGAGGCTGAGAGGGAAAATTTACTGAGTCAGCTTTCCCAACTCATCCCCAATTTTGATCCAAGCATGCTTAAACCGAAAACTTGCACCTGTCAAAACCAAGGTCAAGAGCAAAGTCCCAAAAATCCAATGTCGGACAAAGCAAGCTGCTCTGGGCTCTTGATGGGAGATCATTTGCAAAGTCCCAAAAATCCATATCTCACATATCCAATCAGATACATTTTGGGGATGATACTGCCAAGAATTGGGAAAAGTAGGATGAAATGGTAACATATCTTAACTTTGAATTCTCTGTTTTTTTTAAAAGCTATTAGACGTCGTTATTATGAATCAAACCGTCATTTGAAATACATACCACAACGATTTTATTAATAAACCGTCGTTTGTATTTCAATACCACATCGTATTTAGTTTACTTGTTTTACATGCCATTAGACGTTGTTATTTTTGAAAACTTTTATGGTGATTTAGATGACGGTTTTAGTCCTTACCGACGTAATAGATAAATCCCCACGACGTTTATTATTTACCATCGTTTAATGATTTTAAGACGTCCATAATTCTTACATACCGTCTTATGTTATGCCTTACCACGACGTTTTGATTTAATTTTTTTACTTTCTGTACAATTTGTCTTATATATATATATATTTCTATTTCTTAAAACAGAAATCTAGGAATTTAGAAAAGCAAGATGAAGAAAAGAAAGATGAAGAAAAGCAAGATGAAAAGGTATATTCTCATAACTTTGCCTTTTTTATTTGTTTTAAATTTCCACGGCAGTTTTGTTTTTAATTGAATTTTTACATTGTTGTACAAGCTTTCTTATATATCTCTATTTATTTATTAAAACATAAATCCAATGGCGGAGAAAAGGAAATTGTGGTAAATTCATTATCTATGAATTTTGCATTTTAATTAGACGTCGGAATTTGTTTTCTTTGACGTAATAAATTATTCACCATGACGGTGTTTTGTTACCGTCGTTTAAATTTTTATCAGACGACGTTGTTTTCTTTAAACCGTCGTGTTTGTTGAATTACCACGTCATTTTATTTTGCTTTATTTCTTTAAACAGAATATTGAAGTAGTTGATTATCCAAAGCTGGAGATGCCATCTTCTTTACAATCCCTTTGTCGTTATGTAGAAATGACACTAAAGCCTCTGGAGAAGACTATGATCTTTACAATTGAGAAGGAGGTGTTTGGTGATGATCGTAGTACCTTCGTCTTGCATGAAGATATTACACATTTGCAGGCATGGAGGAAATTGGGGCTACTGTGGTTGCAGTATATATGAGGTTTGTCCTTATCAAATATTTATTTCACACTCTCCTTTGTGTTGAAAAAAAAAAGTCATGTATGTGATCATTTCATATATATATATATATAGGTGCCTATTTGATAATTTGAAAGTTGCAAATATGTTGAACATGGTTGGCTTTATCGACCCTGCTCAAGTTAGTGCCAACGTTGGGTCATTAATTGAGAGATCACATTTGGTAGCCAATCGACTTCAAAAGACAGATGGTGAACAGATTTTCATGATGCCTTACAATCCAGGGTTAGTCTCCTTAACAGGATTTTATTTGTATGATGCACTACGTATAAAACTGTTTAACTAATTTTGTGCCGTTTGAAACTTCTAACCACGTCGGTGGTTTATTTATGGCGTCGTTTGAAACTTCTAACCACGTCGTTAGTTAAGTACCATCGTGATAAATTTATGATGACGTCGATTGCTATGTTATTGCATCGTGTGAAATTATATAATACGTCGTGTTTTTTATAAATAACCATCGTGTGTTTTCTTGTGCTGATTTTTTTATATATCTTTGTTTTATATTAATTTTGTGCAGCCGTCATTGGGTCTTGTTCATTGTGAGAGCAAAGAAGGAAACTATCTATTTTCTGGATGGTTTTTTATAAATAATCATTGGGTCGTGTTTTTTATAAATAATCATTGTTTATGGATTGCAGTTTGCGAAGGGAAAAGATCAAGCGCCATACCCCAAGCAGTCATTGATGAAGTCAGGACAGAATGGGCAGAGTTTGTTTGCCTTCATATGGAGTAGAGGATTTTTAGAACACTTGACATTTTTATATAATGTACACATTTTGTTCGAATTGGACAAGTTTTTGTACAAATTTTGTCTATAACATGCATCCTTTTTTTCCCTGAAAATTTGTTCAGGTTTTCGTAATTTAAAAAAAGGAAATTGCGTAACCGACGTGTAATAACGTTCCAACGACATAATTATGTCAAAAACCGTCGTCTTATGGAGTACAAAAGTTTGTAAAAAAATAAAACGAGAGGAATATAAAACACGACTATACATTACAGACGACGTCTACAGGAAGTATAGGTGACGTTTAATGCATGTTCCATTTATTACAATCGAAGTTGTAAAAAATAACAACGTCATTATTTGAAACAAATCCGACGTAAAAGGATATTTAGACAACAGAGATGACGTGGTAATTAAATTACACAGTGACACCTTTTTAGTTTAAGTCGTAATATACCGTTTGTATGTCGATGTGACGTCGTTTGAGTGAAAATTTCGCCATGGTTTCGCTTTTAAATGACGTCCTTTTTACAAGTAAGTCGTTTATTAAATTTACAACATCGTCACTTTCTTAACGCCGACGTGGTTTGTTGGTGTTTATAGGAATATTTTATTCTATTCATTCAAAATATTCATAATAAATTTAAAATAGATCAAAAAAATGCAACGTCAACTCCTATGAAGTCATTGATATATTTTCTTCCCCCTAAAGCTTAAAAAAAATGCAGTTTCAGTAATACAAATTTAAAATGACCAGCCAAAAAAAAATTGTTTTGATGAGTCATAACATCACTTATAGTTTGATGGTTTAGGGTTTAGGGTTGTTATATATTAGGGTTTAGGGTTAAAGGATAATTTTTGGGGTTTAGGGTTTATGGTTGTTATATATTAGGCTGTAAAACCATAAACCCTTTTCTAAAATTATATTTAAAAAATATATAATTTAGGGTTTTGGGTATTATTTTTTCATGACGATGTTTATGTTTTCAGTCGATGATTTACGAAGTGCGCTTTCTAAACCGGCGTTCCTTTAAAATGACGTTGTACACGAATAACAATGTCATCGATTTAAAAAAAAACGTTAAAGGTTATTCAAACGACGCTATTGGTTCAGTAGACGACGTGGTTGGTTTAAAATAAACGGCGGTAAGTTCAGTGTATGAGTCGTGGAATATTGATTGTACGTCGGTTTTGGTGAAACTTCGCCATGGTTTCGCTTTTAAACGATGTCCTTTTTAGAATTGAGTCGTTTATTATGATTTACATCGTCTTTAATTTCTTAACGCTGATGTGGTTTGTTGTTGTTTATAAGAATATTTTATTATTTTTAATTCAAAATATTCAAAACAAATTTAAAATAAATCCAAAAAATGCAATGTCAACTCCTATGAAGTCATTGATATATTTTCTTCCCCCTAAAGCTTAAAAAAATGCAGTTTGAGTAATACAAATTTAAAATGACAACCCAAAAAAAAATTGTTTTGATGAGTCATAACATCACTTATAGTTTGATGGTTTAGGGTTTAGGGTTGTTATTTATTAGGGTTTAGGTTTAAAGGATAATTTTTGGGGTTTAGGGTTTACTTTTGTTATATATTAGGCTGTAAAACCATAAACCCTTTTCTAAAATTATATTTAAAAAATATATAATTTAGGGTTTAGGGTTTAGGGTATTATTTTTTAACGACGGTGTTTATGTTTTCAGTCGATGATTTACGAAGTGCACTTTCTAAACTGGCGTTCCTTTAAAATGACGTTGTACCCTTATGTATTTTACTTATGCAGTTATGGAACAATACTTTAAGAGAAAATGTCCAAATCCTCTTTCGAATAATTTGGGTAGTTCAATTTTTTATATAAGAATATTAGGATGTCAATCTTTTTTTATAAAGCTTTTAGCCTTTCAAAATTGCACATCCGCTAAAAAAATCATGGATCCACGAGTGGTTGTGGATGCTGTAGGGGCTTTTTTTTCTTCCGGCAGCTACTACGGGCCTGACTGCCGTAAAGGGCAAAATGGAAGAAATTGCCCCTTGAGCCTGAGTTCAAAAATTAATCCCCAAAATACCTCGAAAAGGCAGTAGAGCCTTAGGAAGTATTTTGGTTATCTTCACCAACCAAAATAATGGCAGCTTACAGGTAATTTCTTCATGCTTACAGATAAACTTTTGAGTTTGGCATGAGGGGCTTGTGGCATGGGAGCAAAATTAGCATGAGTTGAGCACCAAAAAGGAAATATGGCTTCCTAGGGAGAAAAGGGAGTGTTTAAGGTGAGGAAGAAGAGGTTTTCAAGCATATGTGGCTAGGAAGAGAAAAGGGAAGAACTATGTTCTTCTGGCAGCTTGTCAGAAGAAGAAAATGGAGGAAGATGAACAGTGCACGAAATTGCTGGTTTTTGCAAGTATGAGAGGAAGCTTGCTCTCTAATTGTGGATGATTTTTGTTGGGTAGAAGATGCCCTAATTTATAGCCGCTGGAAGCTGATATTTTCCAAGAAAACCTAATGGCTTCTACCCATTTTGGCTAAGCTTTTCCTTCCTTTCTCCCTTCATCTCTTCAATCATCCCTTTTTGGTGAAATCCACTCTACCCATTTGCATAAAATTAGGGATTTTTGGGAGCTCAAAGCCCCATTTCCTGCGGCTGTTTCAGACTTCTATTTTCAGCCATCTTTCTTCCTTCTTTTCTCTCCTTTTCCAAGGCTAGGTCTGATGAGGGAAGGAATGGGTATGCATGCTGGTTCAAATGGTGATCTGCGCTCCAATATCCCTTGGTCATTTGGAAGTTTTTGCTTGAAACTTGTTTCTCCCATGTGTTGGAGCTTTCCAGCAGCTTTCACACATGGATATTTTGGCTTTCAACGTGGCTTTTGTTTTCAGCTAGGTGCTGAAGATTTGCAGATATATTTTTTTGGGTTGCTTGGGCCTTCTATGACAATAAGTTGGTTTATCAAGTACATGGGCTAACTTCATCAAGTATTGGGCTGGTTTGGTTGAAGTGATGGGCTATTTTGGTTGGAGTAATGGGCTATTTTGGTTGGGCTACTTTCTCTTTTGTGCTCACCCACATGTTTGGGCCTAAGAAATGGGCTTGGGTTTCGAGGCTCCCAAGTAACCCGGAACCTCCACTTCTTGGTCCATCAATGGGCCTCATGACAATTTATTACCATCCATACCACAACCCACTCAAGCATGCCCCGGGTATTTGAGTGGCTTGGGGTCCACTTAAGCTTGTGGCGTGATTAGGTGCGGAATGATAATTCCTTGCTTAGCGTGGCGTGTCGTTTGGCGTGGCATGTGTGCAAGCGCATATGATGAACTTTCGCATGCCCAAATCGGGTTTCTTCTTGGTAAAGCATCGCATTGGGCCGAGAATTTATTTGGGCCGAACCGTGAATATTTTGGGCCTCAACATTAGCCCCCTTGATTATTGGGGCCATGAATATGTATTGAAATGGTCCGAATAATCAAATTTCAGCCCAAAATAAATTATCGTGACATGGCATGGCATGGGTTTAGGAGCAACTCAAGGATAACAGGTTAAGAGTCTCTGAAATTACAGCCAGGTATTTTCTGGGAAGGTTAGAGGGGTCACAATGGTCCCGCTTAAAACCCAATCCTTCTTAAACACCGAGGATGTTGCCTTGAAGAACTTTCCTAGACACTGTAATTTTGGAGGTCACTTACTAGAGTTACCAAGAGTTGACCTTATTTTGTGGCATGATATAGAAGAAAATGCTTGGTGGATTAGCTCAAGATAACTACTTAGCTCGCATGATTTATTTGCTTGAGTGACTAGAAAGGCTTGATTTTGCATGATTGTGGTTTGCAAGAGTTGCATTGACTTCTGTATCTAATATTAGTTATGTATGCTTGATTTTGGCTTGCATGATTTGCTTTGACTTGTATATTTGGTATTTGGCTTGATGCTTAGCATTGGCATGTATGCTTGATTTTGGCTTGATACTTGGTATTGGCGTGTATGCTTGATTTTGGCTTGCATGCTTGGATGCTTGGTTTTGGCTAAGGTAGCATGGTTTAATATGGCTTTTGGGACATTTAGCATGGTGGATGTCATTTGACAGTAGCCGCACGTGCTAGTGGATAGTGGGGATCCAATCTTAGAGTTGCGGATGCAATAAGCTTGGATTCACCATTGTGTTTGATTTTACAGCACCAGCCTCAGAACACTTTGAATTTAGAGGACAAAACTTCAATGAAGGTGATATCGTGCGACATGATGGCTAGATATTGGAAGAATGCTTGAAATAGGGCATGTGCTGGAAGGATGTTTGAAATAGGGCATGTGCTGGAAGGATATTTGAAATATAACAAGTGCTGGAAGGATATTTGAAATAGGGCATGTGCTGGTAGAATGTTTGAAATAGGGCATGTGCTGGAAGGATATTTGGAATATAACAAGTGCTGGAAGGATATTTGGAATAGGATAGGTGCTGGAAACGGTTTTGTTTGGCATGGAATAGGTGCTGGAAAAAATGTGACTTGGCTTGGCATGATTAGCTTGGACTTGGATAATCTAATGGTTGAGTTGAATCAAGATATAGCTTGATCTGGCATGAGGGTTCACTCTTCCGGTAGCATGAATATTGGTGTTTTGGAAAAATGATACCCCTTTGTTGCAATGAGGACAATTTGGCATGATAGCATGACTTCTTCTATGTGCTTCCAGCAACTAGAACTGCCAAGTTCTAACATTGCCATTTTTATGATGACTGTATTGCTTGAAAAGCTTGATATTGTGATATTTGGTTTGGTTTGCTTGAAATGATTGCATCTAAGTGAAATGCTTGAGTTGCATGGTTTGTGTGGATTGATTCACAAATGCTTGTATTGATGGGTGGAAGAAGAGATACGAGTTTGAGAGAGCATAAGAGAGCTGGGCACGTTGTCTCCTTGCTGGCTTGGCCTTCAGATGGGCAAAATTTTGTTGCCCCTTCCCTTTGAATTTTTTATTATTTGCAAGTGTCTACCCTCTTTTCCTTTCATTTGGCATGGCATGCTTTATTTTATGATTTTCTCTCATTCTCTTCTTTCTTCTTCTTCAAGACCCAAACCCGTGGGTATTGTGCATCAGTACATAAGTCATATTTTGGAAGCTCGGATCAGAAAACTTCCTTGATCAAAGTTGTTCATCTGCTCGAGTACTATAGCCAGTAAAATTTTCAGAATTTTTTGAATTTTTCTGATACCTCAAAGCTGGTTTGCAACTTCTGCATTCATCCATGGTTGGTGAGTTTTTGCAGATTTTTCTTCTGCATGTGTCTTTAACTTATGATGCTCGTATGATTGCACTTGCTTCACAAAATTTGCTTGAAATTATGTTGTTTATAACAAATCCAAAATTGAGGATCATCCACCCATTCTGGTGCTCTCTGCCTCCATTTTTCTAAAGCATGTTCATGAGTTGATGTTGATGCCTTTGTTGCATGCTTGTCTTCTATGCTTGAATGCTTGAGTTCCTCTGTATTTCCCAGAATTTGTGAACTAGAAATTGAATTCTAAGGTTGAGCTTTTGATCTAGGATTCTAGCTTGGTGATAAACAAGAGTTATACAAGCTCACTTGGGTATGCATGCCAAGTGTTTGTCAAAATATCTCAAAGTAGCTTGCTGGCTGCTTTTTGAACTTTTGAAATGTTTCTTTTCGAATCTGAGTTGGAGCTTTTGAGACATAAAAATGGACTTCTCAATGGTTATGTTGAAATTGTTCTTGCATCACTTGAAGAAAAAATGAATTTTCGGTGGAATTTCAAAGTAAGGGTTAAGGTGCTGGAGCTGTACAGTTTCTGCTGCATGGGCTGTTTTAGAAATCTGTTTGACATGCTTCCCTAGCTCGAAATGCAACGAAATTTTGGGAAAATGAAGCTTGATATGTCTAGTTCTGATCTGGAAAGTCTGGGATTTGTTGGTTGTAAGCTTGATTTATAGTGATTTTCTAAAGGTGGGATATTCTAGCTAGGATGGTTGGAAAGCTTGTGTATAAGTTTTGCTTGGCATGTTGCTTTTGCTTGGGAATTTAGTATGTCTTTTCTGTTGGCATTGAGTGCCGATCTGAGTATTGCTAAAGCATGTTCTTGAGCAATATTGTCGTGAGAGCATGAAGTGGAATGGTATTGTTGTAAGAGCATGAATTCTTCAATTTGCTTTGAGATGCCCGAATTGCTTGAAATGCTTGAATGAAATGAAATTTCTTGGCATGTGAATTGGTATCACACCTTGTGAATTTTGTCAAATGCTTGATAGATGAGTTTGCTTGCACTTTGAGAAGATTATGCTTCCGGCACATCCGTTTGTGTATGAGTACCTTTCCGGCTTCTGATTTTGGCTAACATATTCTCTTGTTTTAAAAGCTCGAAAGCATGATAAAGCATGAGAAGTCTAATTTGATAGCATGAAAGTGAGTCTTGGTCTCTTGCAACTTGTCTTTGGAAAACATTATGCTTTAATAGCGATTCTACTTCCGGCACCCCCTTTCTGTTTACAAGTTCCCTTCCAGCACCTGATCTGACCAACGTACTCCCTTATTTATTTTTCAGGCTTGATTGAGAGATTCCACAGCATGAGAAATGCCATCTTCTTACTAATTTGCAAGGAATTTGGTAGCATGAAGGTGAGTTTTGGTTGCTTGCACCTTGACTTGCGATATGAAGGCTTTTGGAAGATTTGAAACTAGCAGAATGTTTGAAATTAGGCATGTACTGGAAGGATGTTTGAAATAGGGTAGGTGATAAAAATTCTTTGCTTATGGAGTAGGTGCTAGAAGAATGTAACTTGGCTTGTTTCAAAAAGGGGAAATAGAAAACTGTTTCTCACCATAATGCAAGATTATCTAGGCTTGTTGTAATCAAAGAGATGATTTATACTGTGTGGCAAAAAAAGGTAGATGGGTTTGCTTGTTTGGATGGCATGGTGTACTTCCTTGAATTTGCTTGGCATGAAGCCCTCAAGTCAGCTTGTTGAGGTCAGCAATTGGTTGCAGAGTTGGGTTATATTCTCTTTGGCTTACTCAGGGTCGAGAAACAAAGTAGAGGCCTGCTTGTAATTTTTTTTTTTTTGCAACTTGCTTCAAAGAAGATCTTTGGAAGAAGTAGACTGAAGATGAGAAGGAAGAGGCTAAGCGAGTTGCTGGAAGAGATTCATACAGCTTGTTTTCCTCCAGATAAGTAACAAACAGTTTGCTTTCCTCCAAGAGGAAAACTGAAATTTACAACAGCTTCAGGATTCTTGTCTCTCTCTTTTGCTTGGCATGAAGCCCCCAAGTCATTTGGAGTTTGCATGTGCTGTTTGCTATGATGGATTCTCTTAAGCCCCCATAAGCCTTTCGCAAGATGTTTTATCTGAAAAACTTTAAATTTTGCTGTAGTGCAATTGCATGAATAAAGCTTGTGATTTTTCAGGAGTTGTCGTATAGCCATGAGAAGAAGTTCTTGCAAGTATTAGTTGCCGAAGTATCCATCTTCAGAAAGACCAATTCTTAAGTATGCCTGAAAATAATGATGGTGCCAAAGTCTGCGCAGAAAAACATGGGGATAATTGTAATGATGGGTCAGCTGGTTGCATAAATAATGAGATCAACAATGGTGCTGAAGGAGATGGTAACGTGAAATAGAAGATACGATATTCTTTTAGCACCAACTACCCTTCTCCCGGCACCAACTACCCTTCTTCCAGCACCAACATCCCTTCTTTCTTGGTGCATTTGAGGTCGTCCTTTGAGTTGATTGACAAGGTATGCCCTTTCCTCTTTGCAATTTCTTGAATCTATCGAGGGGCTTGTTGGGTTCTTCATGCCCATAGGCTTTGCTCGTTCACTGGAATCTCAGGTCCTTCTTTTTAACTCTGTAGGAATATATATAGACTGATATCTTGGGCTAGGCTTGTTTTTCGCATGCTTGAATAAATTTGGACTTTTCTCCCATGTTGTGGAAATAGAAACTGACAGAGTGCATGCTCTGCAATGCTTGAATCCTTTTGCATTTTGAGGGAGAATTTGCTTGTCATGGGAATTACTTGAAAATTTCGCTTGCCATGGATAAATTGTATGCTGCTTGGGTATTTGCTTAAGTGTTTCCTTTGGCCTGAGCTTGACTTGCCCTGCTTGGCGTATATTTTGCGTGTGCTGCGTTCTTGACCCGCTTTTTTATTGTTGAACTATATGCATCACGAGCGCATGCTTGTAATCGTATGATTAATGCATAGGATTAGAGGCTATTAAAAGCTTTGAGAAAAGCACCATTGGTTTCTTTTTTTTTCTTTATGAGCTTAGAATTTGGTCATGGATAACTGTTTATTTTTTTGGCTTTATAGGGATAGACATAAACATGTGTATGATGCGTCTGCAAGGATGTGTAACTCGTAGGTATTTCGTTTTTGTGAAAAGGTTACTATGAGGTAAATAGTGCTCAGTTTGTAGCACTTGCTTTGTGAAAAAGGGTCTGCTGGAATGATTGATTGAGCATGGAATGGGAAATTTGCTTATCATGAGCTCGAGTAATAGATTGCATGATGCTTCAAAAATATTTTTTTTGTTTATGCATTTCGCTTGGCATGAGATAGCTTGCTTTGCTTGGCTTGTAAAGTTCATATGGCTTGCATGCTAGTGTGGAGATTGCTTGGCTTTAACACAGAGAACTAGCTTTATGCTTTGCCGTTTTTTCAGCGTATTCTTTGTTGGCAATTCTTGCAGGGATTCATCGCTTGTCAAGACCTGCCATGGCATCCACTAACCCGTCGTCAATTATTAGTGGCCACCTTTATTCAACGGATGATAAATTGAAGAGGGGAAGGCCCCTCAATTGCTCAAGAATGCTTGTGAAGATGTTGCAGTAGGCGAAGAGCCAGTGTCGTCTTGCTGCGTTTGTATCATCATGGTTCGGGAAATTCCTCCTTTGTGACTTTTCCCAAGATTGTCTGCATGCACAGGTGTTCCCCTTGGCTTTAGAAATAGTGCATGGCGGCATGATTCTCATAGCCCCTATGTTCTTGGGACATCCGATGCAGGGGTAGACAATGCCCTGCTCCTTCTAGCAGTGCTGCCTCATACTCATCCTTTTCTCGGAACATCCAACATAGCTGCCGGCACTGCCCTGCACCTTCCAGCAATGCTGCCTCCTACTCATTCTCTTCTCAGAACATGCGACATAGCTGCCGGCGCTGCCTTGCATCTTCCAGCGTGCTGCCTTCTACTTCTCCTCTTCTCGGAACATCCAACATAGCTGCCGGCACTGCCCTGCACCTTCCAGCAGTGCTGGCTCCTACTCATTCTCTTCTCAAAACATGCAACATAGCTGCCGGCGCTGCCTTCTACTTCTCCTCTTCTCGGAACATCCAACATAGCTGCCGGCACTGCCCTGCACCTTCCGGCAGTGCTGCCTCCTACTCATCCTCTTCTCAGAACATGCGACATAGCTGCCGGCGCTGCCCTGCACCTTCCAGCAGTGCTGCCTCCTACTCATCCTCTTCTCAGAACATGCGACATAGCTGCCAGCGCTGCCTTGCATCTTCCAGCGTGTTGCCTCCTTTTATTTCGCAGGTTGTTTTCTTTGGTTTGGGGTCAGTTGGCTCGGTGCACAGCTTCCATCTTTCTTGATACCATAGGATGTAGTAATCTCCGGCATGTGTAACCTTGTTTTTGCGATGGCTGTGTACTTTTCAGATAATCTAACGACTATGTCATTATGACTTTGTAATGTACTTCTGAACCACTGGAACTTGCATTAATTTCTGAATGCTTGAGACATGTTGTAATTCGTACATCTTATATATATATTGCTTGGTTGGGAGAACTTGCTCTTGTGAACTTCTTGAAATTTTATGACGAGTTGGCAAGCCTTTAAAACAAGGTATATGCTGCCCAAAATTTTGACAAGACCTTTAAGCTAAATCTTCGATGCATTGCTCTTTAAAACTTTTGCAAGGCTCGTCTACTCATTTGGCCTAAAGTGCACCCTCTTTCCGTGCCTTAAAAAGGGTCAGGCCACTGTATGCATGATTTCCACGAAGGCTCCTGTAAGAATTGCCGGATGTTGTGAAGTTTTTTGAGCATTCCGATTGGGAGTCAACGGTTTCGTTATTCCAGCGCCTCAAAATACACTTTTACTGCTCGTTTTTTTGAAATAGCTTGACTTTGCATACCCCACATCGTTTTGCTTAGGCTTGATGCTTGTTTCAGTTCGGGACCCCATCTAAGTGGCTTTGCTTGGTATAGTTACTGCTGAGAGGCTTAGCCTTTTAATGAAAAGTTTGTTTGTCTATTTTTTTTTTATCAAAGAACATGTTTTGTAAAACAGAATAAGGTAAAAGCAAGGAAGAATTCTAGAGGCTTTTTCCTCTTCCAAAATACTCCATTCTCATTGCAAATATCGGCATGCTATAATGGTGGTGTATTTTAAAAAAGTTGTGAAAGCATAGGGTGAAAATACATAAGGAGTTCATTTTTGAAATAAATTTGAAAAGCCAAAAACAAAATGATAGGTGCAAAAGCAATTCAGCAATAATAAGACCTTAAGCCACTTTGCATTGATGAATACTCCAATCAAATCAAGCCCCCCAAATATGAAAGGGCCCAAGGTTGTGCATGACTTGCAATAGCATGAAAGCTTGTGGCTTAGGTTGGTATGTATTTGGCATGTGTTGTACTAGGATGCCATGCTCTGTAGAGATATTTAACAGAGCCACAGTTGCTGCTTTGCTTGCCTGCAGCTCATAACCCAACTAATCGAAGAGTGATTTGCAGCTCCTAACCCATTGTACTTTCTTCAACCTCTATGAAGTTATGAGAGGTTACAAGCTGCCTCTTGATAATCTTGATGACCAAATGAAGCTTCCGAGTGGCTTTCTTCCAGCATGTCCAATGTGAATACTTCGCTGCTGGAACCATTCTTCCATCAATTAGCAAGTAGCCATGGGGTGTTATAGCTTGCAGATTTTGAATATTTGCTCCAGTTGGCCTTCTTCATATTTCCACAAGGTTCCCACATAGCCTCCGGTGGCTTTGGGTCATTCTTCCACAGGTGGCACAATACGTCGTCGTCGAGCAAGTCATCAAAGCACGTAATGACAGTAGCCATCTACTTTCCCCTTCGTTTTGGCAAGGGGTCCTTGTCAATAGCTTGCCTCTTAGAGTTTTGTCATGTATCTCGGCGTGTAAGATCTTCCTTAGAGTATGGCAAGCAGTGGTGGATGTTGCAGGTGAAGAATGGATGAATATAGGAAAATACGCTTCCAGCACCCCTTTTCTTGAAAGCTTGACATCGCTTCAAAAATTCTAATTGCTTGGTAAAATAAACTTCATCTTGACAGCATTTAGGTTCTTCCAGCAGTATCATAGCACTACCTTCACAATATTTTCCTTTCATTTGCCATGAATTGAGATGTTTTCCTTCTTGAGTAAAGCATAGTGCTTGGATTTCTTGACTAAGGCTCGGGGCTTGATGATGCTTGATTATGGAATTGTGGCAATTGAGACATCCCGATAGCCTTTTGGTTTTGACTCCTAAACTTGGTCATTGGAATGGTCAAGGCTTAGAAAGTGCTTGAGGCGTTGGAGCATATCAGTTATGGCAACTTAGGTATTGTTTGTTGCAGCTGTTGTGAACATGTTTTAGGAACCAAAAGCTTGGACTTGGCTATTGAAGCTTGAGCTTTGTATGTGGTCACTGCAGCAAATGTGTTGGGTTACAACAACAAGTGATGGCGAACTTGGAGGTCATAGTAACATAATTGGGATTTCAAGGAGATTTTTGGTCTGGGAATAGTGGTTTTGGTAATAATGGATTTTTAAGCTCATTTGGGGTTTTGGAATCATTGCCGTGGTGATTGCAATGAATTCCTTCCTCAGCCCCCAAGTGCACCATAATCATCAGAAAAGGATTTGATGGGCATAGGCTACAAAAACTCTTGCAACATGGCCTTCTTAGTATTTGTTTGGGTTATTGCATGGCATGATGAACTTGGGATATCCCTTTGTTGCAAAGGTGACAGTTTGGCATGATTCGGTGGTAGCATGTGCTTCTGGCAGCGACTTTTTCAGCAGTGGTGTTTGGATTTTGACTGGCTCTGTTCTTCTTCCATCCTTCCAGCGGCTCTTTCAGTGGTGCTTGAACTTCTATGACTCTAAGTATAGAGAGAGATTTGTCTAAGGAATAGATGATAATGGCAGTGTGTTGAGATGTTGGGTAGGAAACATGAGAGCATTTGTTTTCTTGTTTGTTGTTTGGAGGCTTGGGTCCCTTGCACATGACCGATATAATGCTGCATGACTGAAGCATAAAAATAATATAAGCATTGTAGCTTGAAAATGACTAACATAATTGACATAAGGCCATTTCCAGCAGCCGGGGGGGGGGGTGGGGGGGGGCAAGTTCCAACAACAAAGGCTGGCCCGGGCAGTGTGGGGTCCACTTGCCTGGGCTGGCCCCAAGGCGAAGGCAGCTGACGTCAGCAGGCGCGAATTTTTTTTTCTTTCAGCTGCCACGTGGCGCGACCTGGTCCTTCCGATTTCCGAATTTTCATCCAATCCAACGGCCTGGAATTTTTCAAGGCAAAAAATTATGAAAAAAATCTTAAAAAATTTTAAAAAAACCCCAAAAAATACTGAATTTTTTTTTTTATAAAATACCAATCCATACTCTTCACTTTTAACAACAAATTCACTTTCTACTAAATAATTTTTTCACTTTCTACTCAATAATTTTTCACTTTCAACTCTAAATTTTTTTCACTTTCAAGTTTAATTATTCACTTTCTACTCAATAATTTTTTCACTTTCAACTCTAAATTTTTTTCACTTTCAAGTTTAATTTTTCTCTATCAAAGAAACTATTAAATAAAATTCCTTTTTATTCAAAACATTCCATACATAAAAAAAACTAACCACAACCAAAGCATTGAATATATAAAAACAAACAAACTACAACCAAAGCATAAAAAAACCAAACATAACTAAACATAAAACATAAACATTAAAATCTTAAAAATGTTCTTCACTTCACTTCATTCACCATCATTGCCTTTCACTGTCCATAAATGCTCCATTAAGTCAACTTGACGGCGTTCATGAATATATGAAGATTGCATCTCCGTATATCGATCAATCATACGGTTCATGAAAAGACCATCTCTAACCAACGGTTCATGCTCCACTGGTGCTCCATTTGGCCCTATTGGTTTTTCATAAATTTGGGTCAAGGCCGTGTTCATGGGATCGGGTTCGTACACCTCTTCAGCTTCGTAATCATACTCATCCTCCACAATCATGTTATGAAGGATGATGCATGTCATCATGATGCTCCTCAACACCTCCTCATCAAACATACGTGCCGCACCCCTAATGATCGCCCACCGAGCTTGGAGGATACCAAAACACCTCTCCACATCCTTTCTGTAACCTTCTTGATATGTAGCAAATAATTTTTGCTTCTGGGTTCGGGGATGCGGAAGTGATTTCACGAACGTTGTCCACCTCGGGTAGATCCCGTCAGCTAGATAATACCCATTTTGGTAGACTGTATTATTGACTTCATATGTGATTTTTGGGGCTTCTCCTCTCAAAACTTCATTGAACACCGGGGATTGACCCAGGACGTTCAAGTCATTTTGAGATCCAGCAACTCCGAAAAAGGCGTGCCAGACCCATGTATCGAAACCTGCAACGGCTTCAAGGATGATGCTTTTTTGGCCTTTCCGATTTCCGTAATCACCCTGCCAAGCAGTTGGGCAATTCTTCCATTGCCAGTGCATGCAGTCGATGCTACCAATCATTCCTGGAAACCCTCTCCGTTCGGCTTTCTGCAGAAGTCGTTGCAGGTCCCTGGGCGTGGGTCGGCGCAGGTAGTCCCTGGTGTACAGAGTTTCGACTGCATCACAAAATCTAACCAAACTCTCCAAGGCAGTGGACTTCCCCATCCGGGTAATCTCATCCACCTGATCAGCAGATGCACCATACGCCAACATTCGTATAACAGCTGTGAACTTTTGTTCGGGAAGCAGTCCCAAAACACCAGCACAATTTCTCTTTTGAACAAAGTATTCATCATAATTGCAAATATCATGCATAATTTTATTGAACAAATGTTGTTGCATTCTATACCTCCCTCGAAAATGAACATCAGAGTACAGAGATGTTGGGATAAATAATCTTCCATAAGATTCTTACCCCGAGAATGCCTATGTCTGTCAACATTTGGGCCACGGCCTTCATGTGAACCACGACTGCTCTGGTTTTCTTCATCAAGCATGGCCACAGCCATGAAAAGTTGCTGATCTAGATCTCTCTGCGCTCTTTTGCTTGCAACTCGTCTACGCCTTCTTTCTCTTATTTCTCGCTCTTGCCTGTCCAAGACCTCTTCCATGTCTGACATTGTGAATGGAAGATGAAATATGAAATCTAAAATATGAGAAATGAAATTTTTGAGAAGATGTAGTGTGAGAGGTTTGTGAGCTGAGCCTTTGTTTTATAGAAAAATTTAGGTCGATAGACATGACACGTGGCGCAAGTTGATAGGGTGAAAATCTTATCTGAAATTTGGAATTCAAATGAAATGTATCTGAAATGTGAAATTCAAATGAAAAGTTGAAATTCAAATGAAATTTATCTGAAATTTGAAATTCAGATGACACATGGCGCAATTTTATAGGGTGAAAATCTTAGCCGAAATTTGAAACTCGGATGAAATTTATCTGAAATTGAAATTCAAATGAAAAGTTGAAATTAAAATGAAATTTAAAACCAAATTTGAAATTCAGATGAAATTAATATGAAATTGAAAACTCGAAATTTATCTGAAATTTGAAAAAAAAATTTATCTGAAATTTGAAACCGAAAATCTTATCCGAATATTTTATCAGAAAATCTCATCCGAATATATTGTCAAAATTAATTGTTTAGGTAAACAAATTTGTGAAAAAAACAAAAAATTGAATAGTACCCCCCTTGCCCTGGCAACTGCTGGAAGTGCAACTTACTTTTTGCAAGGGCAGACACTATTCCCGTGAATAGTACCCCCCTTGCCCCCCCCCTTGCCATGACAACATTTTGACTGCTGGAAATGCCCTAAGCATGCTGAGCAGGTATGATTTTAGTACTGAGCATGCATAGTTGGCATCTACATTGCAATGTGTAACTTGGATTGATTAACACAAAGGTGGATCGATACGAAATGATAAGAAGTAAGATAAGTGAATAGTGCGTGGAATAAGGCCCTGAGAAATTTTGCTGGAGATGCAAAATTGAAAGGTGGTTTAATACATAACAAGAAAATGATGCAAGCTGGTGTACCATATGAATAACAACTAATCAATCAATCTTTTTTTTTGGGACTTGAATGCACATGCTTTTCTCTATGCTTGAGATTGTTCAATGAAACATAAATTTTATGGATATCTTAAAACAACAAACAAATATATATACTATATTGAGATCAACAAGGCATGATAATAAAAATCTTATCTTGGTGAAGCCATTCGCAGAGATGAGGCTGAGAGCATTGAGCAAGTGTTCCTTCTCCCTCTCTCACCGTGTTTTCACAACTCTAGAGAGGTGAGGGCTGCTATGAAGGTGATTTACGGCGATGGCCAGACTTGCTGATGATGTATCATGGCGGAGAGGTGAACCGCAGAGCTAGCCTCAACAATTGACGACGGTGGTTAGCGGCTTGCACGTTGGCTGAAGCCCCCAGTCCTTTTACAAGATCTTGTTTTGCTTGAGAATGGAGATCTAAGACACAAGCAAAGGGAGCATGTGAGTAATCTATATTATGTTTGTTCTACAAAGTAGATAGCCAACGAAAGGAAAAAGAAAAAGAAAGAGGGAATGCTCTTATCTCTTTATTTCCTCCGGTTTACTGCTTCTGGTCTTCTTCTTTGGAGGCATTGGTGCAGATAGTGGCTTAATCCCCAGCAGCGTGGCCAATTTATGTAGGGGACTTTTTTTTCTTCCGGCAGCTACTACGGGCCTGACTGCCGTAAAGGGCAAAATGGAAGAAATTGCCCCTTGAGCCTGAGTTCGAAAATTAAGCCCCAAAATACCTCGAAAAGGCAGTAGAGCCTTAGGAAGTATTTTGGTTATCTTCACCAACCAAAATAATGGCAGCTTACAGGTAATTTCTTCATGCTTACAGATAAACTTTTGAGTTTGGCATGAGGGGCTTGTGGCATGGGAGCAAAATTAGCATGAGTTGAGCACCAAAAAGGAAATATGGCTTCCTAGGGAGAAAAGGGAGTGTTTAAGGTGAGGAAGAAGAGGTTTTCAAGCATATGTGGCTAGGAAGAGAAAAGGAAGAACTATGTTCTTCTGGCAGCTTGTCAGAAGAAGAAAATGGAGGAAGATGAACAGTGCACGAAATTGCTGGTTTTTGCAAGTATGAGAGGAAGCTTGCTCTCTAGTTGTGGATGATTTTTGTTGGGTAGAAGAGGCCCTAATTTATAGCCGCTGGAAGCTGATATTTTCCAAGAAAACCTAATGGCTTCTACCCATTTTGGCTAAGCTTTTCCTTCCTTTCTCCCTTCATCTCTTCAATCATCCCTTTTTGGTGAAATCCACTCTACCCATTTGCATAAAATCAGGGATTTTTGGGAGCTCAAAGCCCCCTTTCCTGCGGCTGTTTCAGACTTCTATTTTCAGCCATCTTTCTTCCTTCTTTTCTCTCCTTTTCCAAGGCTAGGTCTGATGAGGGAAGGAATGGGTATGCATGTTGGTTCAAATGGTGATCTGCGCTCCAATATCCCTTGGTCATTTGGAAGTTTTTGCTTGAAACTTGTTTCTCCCATGTGTTGGAGCTTTCCAGCAGCTTTCACACATGGATATTTTGGCTTTCAACGTGGCTTTTGTTTTCAGCTAGGTGCTGAAGATTTGCAGATATATTTTTTTGGGTTGCTTGAGCCTTCTATGACAATAAGTTGGTTTATCAAGTACATGGGCTAACTTCATCAAGTATTGGGCTAGTTTGGTTGAAGTGATGGGCTATTTTGGTTGGAGTAATGTGCTATTTTGGTTGGGCTACTTTCTCTTTTGTGCTCTCCCACATGTTTGGGCCTAAGAAATGAGCTTGGGTTCCGAGGCTCCCAAGTAACCCGGAACCTCCACTTCTTGGTCCATCAATGGGTCTCATGACAATTTATTAGCATCCATACCACAACCCACTCAAGCAAGCCCCGGGTATTTGAGTGGCTTGGGGCCCACTTAAACTTGTGGTGTGATTAGGTGCGGAATGATAATTCCTTGCTTAGCGTGGCGTGTCGTTTGGCGTGGTATGTGTGCAAGCGCATATGATGAACTTTCGCATGCCCAAATCCGGTTTCTTCTTGGTAAAGCATCGCATTGGGCCGAGAATTTATTTGGGCCGAACAGTGAATATTTTGGGCCTCAACAGATGCTATACTTGGTTTTTCCAAACATGTGTTTATGACAGACTATCTTTTGTCCTATGTGTGTATGAGTTTGATGTTGCCGATGGATCCTTTTGTGCTGTTTGTAATACATTTTTGGGTAGTTGTAGTGGCCACTGTGGCTATTGTATTTGAATTTCTCTTGTGTCGTAATTTATGACTGCAATCTCCCTACCTAGTGGTGGAGGGAGCTAAGGCCTAGGGTGGGCATGTGCCCCCTCTCAAATTTTATTTTAGCCTATTGTATTATTAATATAATTTGTATTTTTCTAATTTTCCTTTTCTCACTATCATTGCTACCCTTTGAAATCTGTTATTGTCGTACTTCGACTCTAAATTTTGTAGTGATAAATTACCGTTCAAATTTTCTTAGTGTGTATTTTTAATAAATTACATTTCATTTTGATTGTTTCCTAGGATCCATGATGAGTAGATAGTTAATATAATATGTACAATAATGGAGTAAAAAATTTAGGGATTTTGTATCAAGTAAAAAATTAGTTTCATTGTCACCCTAAAGAAAAATATATTTCACTATATGAGGTGCCCTTCAATGAAAATTTTCTGGCTACACCACTATCCCTACCATTTGACTTTAAAAACAAAAAAACAAAAGCCTGCTGATTTCATTTTCTACATTTTAATATGGAAATTGGGCAAATAGCATAGTTGTAGGCACTACTATAGGAGTTTATTACTCTTTCGTTCTATAAAAGTTGTACAAATCCTCATAGAAAAGTCAAATAAATTGATCAATCAGTCAATTCTACAGATGCAGAAGAGATTTTATTCTTTTTACACTCGCTCAAGTTATTCAATAGTGTTTATACCATATTTGACCAAGCAACTAGAAGCAACTCTAGGCAAAGCAAAGAGTCCCACATTGGAATATTACAAGAAGTGAAGGCTCCCCCTCACCTATAAAAGGAGACCACTCTCCCCTTAGAAAAGGATCCTTGGGCTGGGCTTGATCTTTAGTCATGACCTTCCTCTTTCTTACATTTAAGTTTGGGCCCAACCCCATGTACGAATGTAAATACACAACATTATAATAATGAGAATATACTTCTCAGTGGACGTAGCCCATTTATTAAGGGTGAACCACGTATATCTTGTCTTCTGTATATTTATCGCTTGCTCCAACCCTCACACACTTGGTAAAGGTCCTCACCTTCACCCATCATCCATCACACCTCATCACTAAGTTGGCCTCAAAAGTGCCGAACCATTTTTCTGCGTCAACAGTTTGGCGCCGTCTGTGGGAATCGACACAAAAAGCTTCTGTCATTCCCCCCTTTTTTCAGTGCCCTTTGGCACCCCTGCAATCAGCATCTCCTAGCTTGCCGAACGGCAATACCATAATGGAGTAACCGTGAGTGTCTCAAGAGAGTGACATGCAGAAGATGAATCCTTGCAATATAGTTCAAAAGAAGAGGAAATATGTGGGCCACCCTAGCTTCTCTTAACATGCCTTACCGTTTGGCACCTTTGGTGAATATTGATGAGTGGGCTCCCAAAACATAAGAGCTGCATTTCTTATCTTGCTTCTTTATTTTATTCCCATTTGCCGACATAAATGGTGCAAGCCCACTAATCTATTAGCCAACCAGAATGTAACTATCATTTGCATGGCTTGCATGGCCAAACCACCTTTTCAATTCAAAGTACCGTTCGGCACCCCGTTTGAAGAGAGAGTTTGGGAGCCCTCAAAGGCAGATCACTGCCCATTGTGCACCATTTCCAAAGAGATGAGTGACATATTCCTTCTCTTCTTTTGTTATTATTGAATTTGGAGATTGCATACCAAACTAAATTTCTGACAATACACTATTATTGGATCAGTAAAAATCTATATTGGATCTGTGTATGCCATTTAGTTATGCTGCCGACCAATATCATACGTGGACAACATGGCAAGAGCAGCCCGCTTGCAGCCCCAAGTACTGTAACAAATGGCAACAGCCCCAATTCGTCTCTGAAGCCAATTGCGACACTACACTTTCGAGATTTTCACCAAAAATCTGCATGAAAGGTCAAAATACCGAACGGCACACCCATCCAGGGGATTGATCAAGCCACCCAAAAGCCTTGAGTGGCCATCCAACTCCATGTTGCTTGACCAGCTACCGAACGGTAGCCATGCCATTGGCTTTCTCAAGGCATCCACTTAGTCAAAAATTCTGAACTTGCTGAAGTTGTTTCATCTTCAGCCCATCTCCAACATATATTGTCTAGTCTGTGTTCCGCATAAATTGCTGAACAGTAATGTTGGGCAATGATTCATCTGGGAGCCACCTTCTCAATGGCACAAATCATCCTACCGTTCGGTAAGGCAGAATTAAGCCAACTAATATTCCCAGACCTCCACCTTGCTTATTTTTCATGAGCTACCATTTGGCACCCATGCCAATAAATTACTCAACACACCCACCATTCGGTAGGACATGATACATTATGACTCACAGCTAATGACAGCCCCTGTCATGGCTCCAAAACCTTCTAAACTTGCTGGAGTTGATTCATCTTTAGCTCACTCCGTCAAGGCCCCTCTCACTTGTCTTACCGTTCGGCAAATCAAGATAATTGAGCCCATCAGACCTCCAAAACCATCGGACACCCCTACCGATCGGTAGGGTGGCGCCAGATCGTAAAGGACAAAGTTTCCATACCTGCCGAAAGCTCTCAAGACACCATGGTGTCATACATGCTGAACAACAGGTTGATAATAGTTTTCAAAAGGCACAGCCACTCCCACCTTCAGTATCACCGATCAGTAACTACCATGGGTCAACCTCCATAGCTCGAATCAGACCACGTTGCCGAAGAAGCTTCCTTTCAGCACAGCCAATACAAAGGTCTCACCAAGGCCCTGTGGCTGAAGCCACCGCAGGCTCCCAAAAGTTACTCAATCCACCCTTGCCGAACGGTAAGGGTTTTGCAGAAGCAATGGGGACTAGTAAGATGGCTCCTTCCAAAAATCAAAGTGCCTCCACGAAACCAGCCTCCTGGTCACTCTACCGGAACTGTGCATACACACTCTTGAGAAACTTCTCAACATCCTCGTGCCGACACAGGGAGCTTGCGAAATCTGCTCAAATCACGTCGGACTCACCAAGTCTCACGTACCGAAGGAAGAGGGACAGCCAAGTCTCACCAGGGCCTCACCATGGCTTCACGCCGGAATCAATGGAAGACTCGACCTCTCCTTCGAACCACGTCGTGCCGAAGCTGTAACCACAAAGCCTCCTCTTCACCCTTGCCGAACGGCAAGGACCAGGCTTTTCAAAACTGTAAGCCCAGCTCGACAACCTTCACGGCTCCCTGGAAAAGATTAACAGCCTACTGAAGTTGTGGGCACTCACTCACCAGTCATGACTTCCAAGCTCCTCACCGAACGGCAAGGGCTTTGGGCAGCAAAGGAGCTCACGAAAACCTGATGCCGAAGGTCTAACTTCAAACCCACTCAAGTGGAAACATCAGGGGACTCGGCAAGAACCCAGCTCCAATATTTCGAAATCACCCTTGCTGATCGGCAACCTTGCTGAAAGCAACTAAGACGTTTTGCCTTCCTGTGCACAAACTGCCGAACGGCAGGTCTGATAAAGAGACTCTGCTCTCTCACCTTCTAAAAATCCTAGGCCATGCCGCCCAAGGCCTCACGCCAAAAACAAACGGGCCCAGCACCTTGACTTCACGAAACTCCCTTCTCCAGGCTACCCTTGCCGAACGGCAAGGGCCATATCGAAGTCAAGATACACCCCTGGAGGCCCACGAGTTGCTCCCTTGCCGAATCACTAAATTTCAAACGCCCACTTATGGCATTTGGCGTTCATAACAACACAACCAAAAACAAAAGAAAGAAACCCAAAATTATTAGCCATCGGCAATAATTATTGGAAAAGATCATCGGCATATACTACAAAAGAAAAAACCCAAGACTATTAGCCATCGACAATAAACATTGGTAAGCTTTTTCTACAAGACGAGAGCGATGCCTTCGGCACCCCGTCATCATTTGACAAGCGATGCCTTCGGCACCCCGTCATCACCTTCGGCACCCTGCCATCATCCGACGAGAGCGACGCCTTCGGCACCCCCGTCATCATCTGACAAGCGATGCCTTCGGCACCCTGTCATCCTTAGACGAGAGCGATGCCTTCGGCACCCTGTCATCATCCGACGAGAACGATGTCTTCGGCACCCGTCATTTGACACGAGCGATGCCTTCGGCACCCTGTCATCATCCGACGAGAACGATGCCTTCGGCTCCCCGTCATCATTTGACAAGAGAGATGCCTTCGGCACCCTGTCATTATTTGATAAAAGCGATGCCTTCGGCACCCTGTCATCATCCGACGAGAGCGATGCCTTCGGCACCCGTCATTTGACACGAGCGATGCCTTCGGCACCCTGTCATCATCCGACGAGAACGATGCCTTCGGCACCCTTTCATCATTTGACAAGAGAGATGCCTTCGGCACCCTGTCATTATTTGATAAAAGCGATGCCTTCGGCACCCTGTCATCATCCGACGAGAGCGATGCCTTCGGCACCCGTCATTTGACACGAGCGCTGCCTTCGGCACCCTGTCATCATCCGACGAGAGCGATGCCTTCGGCACCCCGTCATCATTTGACAAGGGAGATGCCTTCGGCACCCTGTCATTATTTAATAAAAGCGATGCCTTCGGCACCCTGTCATCATCCGACGAGAGCGCTGCCTTCGGCACCCGTCATTTGACACGAGCGATGCCTTCGGCACCCTGTCATCATCCGACGAGAGCGCTGCCTTCGGCACCAGTCATTTGACACGAGAGATGCCTTCGGCACCCTGTCATCATCCGACGAGAGCGATGCCTTCGGCACCTCGTCATCATTCGGCACCATCGACACTACACTACTTGGAAGAAGACTAAGGTTTTGCTTGGTCAATGCACTGAAAATTGCAAGTCCTCAACCAAGGAGTACCTCCTTGCTTGAGAACTTGGGGGACTTCTGTTATACCATATTTGACCAAGCAACTAGAAGCAACTCTAGGCAAAGCAAAGAGTCCCACATTGGAATATTACAAGAAGTGAAGGCTCCCCCTCACCTATAAAAGGAGACCACTCTCCCCTTAGAAAAGGATCCTTGGGCTGGGCTTGATCTTTAGTCATGACCTTCCTCTTTCTTACATTTAAGTTTGGGCCCAACCCCATGTACGAATGTAAATACACAACATTATAATAATGAGAATATACTTCTCCATGGACGTAGCCCATTATTAAAGGTGAACCACGTATATCTTGTCTTCTGTATGTTTATCGCTTGCTCCAACCCTCACACACTTGGTGAAGGTCCTCACCTTCACCCATCATCCATCACACCTCATCACTAAGTTGGCCTCAAAAGTGCCGAACCATTTTTCTGCGTCAACAAATAGCACTAGATATTGATCACAAAATAAAGAAATAAATAAAGTCGCACTACAGCTAATGAGGGGGTTGACTATCGCTCGGCTAATTCACGTTACATACATTTGTTATCCGATGTCCTCTTATTATCTTGTGCAAATTGTAATCCAAAGACTTGTTAATTCTTCAAGTCCATGGCCAACCCAAAAAAGAAGTTAAGTTGTTATCAAAGTCGCTATTAAATTTACTGATGTTGATCAAGAATCTTCAATTTAGAGTAGATGCAGCCAAAAGCTTGACTTGGAAAAGTCTTCAATTTAGAGTAGATGAATCTATGACGATAAATCTACAATCATTGAGAGTTCAGTATTACTCACTGACTGGCAATAAATCTACATCGTTTATATTTTCTGTTTGTAAGAATAATAAACAGAAGGCTAAGAAAATGAGAGAAAACCAGAATTTTTTTTTTTTTTTTTTTGAAGATTTTTCACTGTATTGATTTAGAAAGCTAAACAGAGTATTTATACTCTTACCCAAACTTAATAGTTAAGTCTTAACACTAATCGGGTCTAGCCTAGTGAAACATTGTCTTAATTTGCAAATCCATGGTTTCATATTCTAACTCTCATGACACATTGATAGTATGTATGCGTGTGTGAAAAACTCATATCCTCTTATATTTCAAGAATGACCCCAAACTTTCAGGGGGTAAAATGATGTTAGCCCTTTTTTCAATTATTCCATGGTTTCAATTTTACACTAAAAACGTGAAGAAGATAAAATTTGATAATTACGTATTTTCACCCAAACCTTACCTATACCATAGGTATTTTTATTTCTATTTTGACCCAAAAATTACCTACAATACAGTTAAAAACCTACAGTATCCTCACAACCTTACCTAAAAAACAGGTGTTGTAATTGACGACACAAGGTGAGAATACTCCAAATTTATAGAGTCGATATTAATTGAAACCCAAAAACCTATGCATTGAAGAAGCATGAATCAACATAAATTGGTATGAAGGAAACATGATTTAGGGATATGTTTGATATATTTGCCTTTTATGTTCACTGGCGCATGTTGTAAATATCTTAAATCTTGTGGATATAAGATTTACTTATTCGGCCACATTATTGGATTTGTGAACTGCAATCAACAATAGACAATTGATGTCCTACGTCCATTATATCTTAATGAAATTGGACCTATTTCCAAGAAGTTCTAATATTTTTCCCAATGTGTCCTGCAACGATTGGTTTACTTATATTGGCTTTTATTATTCATAAGGTGTTTTATTTTAGAGAGCATCCCAACAAAAACATATTCGTTTTTATTATCCAATAATTATTTTTAATTCCTGCACACAGAATAATAAAAAAATCATGAATTTATCATTTTTTTAATGAGTGCTGCTAAACGAACCCTAAAATTAACTGAGTACACCCTATGATCTAAGTACACCCTAATATTTTAATTAAAATATAAAATTAACTAAGTACACCCTATAGAACTACCAAAAATACCCCTAGTACACCCTAATACTTGTAACATTATTTTATAGTTGATTTTCAGCTTGAAATAGTGTTTATAAATCTTTGACTTTTCATATGGATTTATGCTTCTACTAAAACTGTTGACACTTTTTTTGCAATTCCAAGTTCTTGCAATCACCACCTCTTTGTTAAAACACAATAGGACAAATGAGAAATTAAACACAAATTATCTCATAACATATTTTGTGTTGGAAGAAGCCAAATGAGCAAAAAGCCATCATAATTATTATATTTATTTTGATATATGCTACATAAAACTGGAATAATATCTCTGCAATGTAACAATAAGAGTCCAAATTGTAATGTTATTATGTTTACCCAAACTAATGTTGTTAATTACTAATTTAATTGAGCACATGTCCCTGAAATCAGGTTCATGAATGTAATTTCTTTCTCTGAATACGTTTTTCTATGGTATTATAAAATCAGAAGGAAAACAATGAAAGATGAAATAACTGCAATCACTTTTGGAAGGCAGTGGCCATAAACTGTAAGATAAGTCCTAAAACCACTTGAAATTTTGGTATATCAGTCTAAGCATTCTGAATAATGCTCATGGGGCAGCACTAGTTATAAAACAGAATTGATCTGCCCCATAAGCATCGAAAAGCAATCAAATATGCTTCAAGATGCCAACCTGAAGAAAAAATAATAGCAATCTTATGTTTGTAACACGAAGGGCTTGTTTGGGAGTGCTTTTGGAGTATTGAAAAACGCTTTTAAATGGGCGAAAGTGCTTCTGTCTTTTAAAAATGGTGTTTGGCAAAAATTACAAAAGCGCTTTGGGTGATATCCAAAAGCACTTGGAGTGGTTTTGGAAGAACCACTTGAGAGGTGCTTCTTCTTAAAAGCGTTGCAGGACAAAAACACGGGAAGCACTTGGCTCCCTTTAATGAAACTTTTAAAATACCAAAAATACCCATATTTAATTTTTTAAAATGCCGAAATACCCTTTCTTTCTTCTTTTTCTCTCCCCTTTTCTCTCCTATTATACCCTTTCTCTACTTTCTGATTCGGCTTTGGTTTCAATTCTATGTGTTCTATTTTAATGGGCGTATAGTCAAAGGAAGGGTGCAATACTATGCTTGCTAGTGATTATACTTGTATGAAATGGGTTGTTATAGCTCGTAGCTAGCGTAGCTTATTGGTTTTCTGAGTCTGCTTTTATAGCTATATCAACTAGATACAATTTCCTTAAGTCGTGTTTTTATTTTGGGATTCTGTAAATTTTTATTTCCTATGTTTATTATAATATTTTAGGATTCTTAAATTTTTTTAAAGTACTTTCAAAAGCGCTTTTACTGTGTCAGCCAAACACTCAACAAAATATAAAAAACGCTTTTATGTAGTGTAAAAGCACTTTTAAATGTGACATCCAAACGACAAACTGCTTCTTTGTAGAAGCGCTTATGTCATAAGCGCTACTGGCATAAGTGCTTCAGGAAGAAGCACTCCCAAACGAGACCGAAAAAGAATAACAAGCTTGCAAAAGAGCACCCACTTGAATGGTTCCAATAAAGCTGTAATAAGAAAAGAGCAAAACAATATGAGCACAAGATAGCTACAAAGCATTATACATCCATTACAGATCTGTGACTTCCAATCTCAAACTAAAATTATAGAGTGTCACCGAACCTGCTTTCTAAGTTGTCTAATCCAAGTTGCCAAGAAATAGTTCTGAGAAGAAAGAAGGAAGGCTTCATCTGCTCCAAGCCATTCTGACTCACGGATCACAAAGATGGGCACCAAGCAATCTCTTGATTAGGGTTCAATATGGTTAGTAGGGTGTACTTATTAAAATTATATTTGTTTCACAATTCCATATATTCTTTTTGGTCATTTTATATTAGGGTAAATCAGTAATTCAATATATACTTTTGTAGTATGGTATTCTCAGTTAATTTTAGGGTTCGTTTAGCAGCACTCTTTTTTAATAGGTGTTCACCTTATTTTTTCATCCAAAAAGTCCGGAGTGATCTTATATATGGAGCACCCTACAAACTTTTTATTTGTCAACCACAAACATTGTTCCACCTAAATAATTAAGAAGTGGAGGAAGATGTTAAATCTCCTTAATGAAACTTTCTCAAGCTTGTTCCAACCTATTGAGGCCCAAAAAATTCAAAGCTATGTCCAAATATATTTAGTAAATTTAGGTTTTAGCCACAAAAAAACTTTATGTAAAGGATTTCTTAGGAAATCCAAAAATAAATAAGGGCATTTTTGCCCATTTTGGAGAACACAAGAAAGTCCTACATGAATTAAAATCATAAGTAAAATCTTGTAATTACAATCTATTAAAATCATAAGAAAAATCATGTAATTACAAATCATGCTGAAATCTATTACATTAAAATCGTGTAATTACAATCTATTAAAATCTTAATTGAATACATCATTCATGGAGGACTTTCTTGTATTCTCTTGGATTCGGGTTAGCCATCTTTCATCCATTAGTTAAAGGATGCCAAGCCTTTAAAGAAGCAGAAAGTTGAAGTTACACCAAGCTTAGCTAAAGTTATCATTACTATCTGTCATGTATGGCTTTCTTCAAATCATCTTGTTCTAAAGCTAAAACCACAGTGGTCCCAAAATTCAAACATAATTGTCATTAAACTAAAACCATACAGCTATTAAGTTTTGTTTGGAACTGAGAATTGACATAGGAACAAGCTACAACAATAAAAATCTTGAATTAATTGAATTTATAAATATTACAACAGACAAGTTAATTGAATCAATTCAAATAAGAAACTGGACAGCTGAAAACAAGTCAAAATGGTCCAGCTATGACATGATACTAGTACAGAACACTTGTCACTCAAATTGATTCCACAAATTGACTAAAGAAAGACAAATAAATCAAATGAAATAAAACAGCTGATCAGTGGTTTCGTATTCTAACTTTCAAGACACATTGATAGTGTGTGTGTG